CATGGCAGTCCACTCCTGCAGCTTCTTTTTGGGTCACAATGGAAGAATTCTCGATGACGGTGGAAACAATCAGCAACCATACCATTGCACCAGAATTGGCTTCACTGCCAGCCTTCGAAGTTATCCAGCAGCTCCAGAGCTTGCCGGATTTCTTGATGCTTCCGATGTTCCTAGCGTTGAGGCCCCAGTCTCATTCCATTTCTGCATCACCATCACCATCACCAGACGCTCTTTCTCCACCGGATAGGGACGTCGTCCACGCTATGAATGCCCTCGTAAATTTTGCAAACGAAACTCAGGAACGAAGTCGATTAGCTTCAGTCGCTCTCAAGTATGCCTGTCAAAACTGGGTCGTGCATATTTCGCGCGCTCCGAATCCATGGGATGACACGCTCGACCGTCAATTCCACACCTTCTTGAATCGTCACCTCCTTTCCTGGCTCGAAATGCAGTGGTGTCTGAACGGCCTCCGGTCTTGCCTTGCTGTTTATAACCGAAGGGCAGAAATTGCAAAGGTAAGGATTTTATCAATTCACCCAGCCAAAGATCCGAAAGTTGATATGATTGTCAGCTGGTCCCGATTCCCAATACTCGATAAGGAAGCTTCGGCACCCGCGCGCGATGATCTGAAACGTCGACGAAAGGACGGTTAACTCCCGTAAATACTCTTCTTACATACGAGGCCTTGATCCTAATCCTTGCCCATGTATTCTGTCCTCAAGTCACGTGATGAAACAGTGTATGAACGAAGTCTGTCTTACAAGCTCAAGAAAACGACCATGGTGAATGGAAAGTCCAAGGTGGCAGAGGCGGGATGGCGAGCAGGATGGCGGGCGAGGTGCAGCGAGCAGCGATACCTGTAGATAATCTCGTTTGTCTGTATTAGATGTGTTTTGGGATCAAATCGAGTGATAATTCATATGTAATAATGTAAATGTCCTAAATTTGGCTTCAACACGTCGATAATTTTCATAGGCTTAGATATTTCGTTTTGTACATAATTACATTCCGCCACTATCCACGCGTGCACTAGGTTCCAGCAAGTATTCCTCAGCAGAACAGATTAACACATTCGTACACTCATCGTTGCGACTTAAGTCTTGTCACAACTTAAACATAGGCTCCGACAGATCCAAGCTTTGATTCACATTTTCGTACGTCGTCTCTCAAGATAACCATCCCCACTGGATCATTTCTAATTAACGGCACCAGCTAGAACTTTCAGTAGTCCATTCCGAATCACGCATATCTACAATCTTCGTGAATGAGTGGGGGTCAATGTCAGTATATCCATATTTTATCTCTCCCATACTCTCTGACCACCTTGACAGTTGAAGACACTTGGACGAGGCTATCCCAGGTCGTTGTGAAGGATGCTCAATATAACTCCCCTAAACGTCACCCCCACCCGAAATGCTTAGAAGGGACTCGGGTAGATCTCCTCGAATACATCCACGGATTCCTGGAGGACCAAGAGAAGAATCAACTTATCTGGCTGCATGGCACAGCAGGCGTCGGAAAGTCTGCCGTTGCGTTCACTGTAGCTGAGAGGATGGAAAGTCTAAAAGTGACAGAGGAGACATCTGTCGAAAAGCGGCTTGGAGGAACATTCTTTTTCTCGCGCGACAAAACGGAACGTCGTACCACTGGGTATTTTTTTGCGACGCTTGTCTACCAGCTTGCCATCAATTTTCCCAGCATCCAGAATGACGTGAATAGAGCTATTCGCGGCAATCCCGCTCTACTAGACCCTGACACGCCTCTCTGCAAGCAAATGGATGCATTTTTTCTCCAACCTCTCCGGAAACTCCAAGTCAGATTGCGCGGGTGTCCGCCTTTGACATTTGTTATTGATGCCCTTGATGAATGCACGTCCGAACACGAGCTTACCGATCTTATCCTTTCCCTTGCACGGGCTCTTCATGCACCTGGTCTGCCCGTGACCCACATTCTGCTCACGAGTCGCACGGAATTCCACATCTCTCAAGCCTTTCAGAAAAACGAGGTGCACTCGTTGGTCTGCGAGATACCCCTGAAAATTTCTGGGCAGGGTGGCATCATGTTAGATAGTGTTGACAATGACATCTGTACTTTCTTGCGACATTCCTTCGGAGAGCTGAAAAGGCGCTATCCCGATTTCCCTCAGCCATCGAGGGATGACCTTACGAAGCTGGTGACCCGAGCCGGCAGACGTTTCATCGTGGCATCTACAATGATGAAGTTTATTATCGATGGTGGACACAAGGATCCCCACGATCGATTACAGCTGATGCTCGAGCTGAAGAGCGAGCTGCTACCAGGAACGGAGTTGTACGATCTATACGACCGTATCCTCTCCACATGTACCGACCCCGGGCGGGCGTACCTGCACTTGTCCATTGTCGCTGCACTTGCAGACCCTCTGCCGCTGCCACAAGTCTCGAAACTTCTTGGCTCTGGTCAGGGCTGGGATACCGAGACAACACTAGCACAGCTACGATCTGTCATGGACATTCCTACTGACACCAGTCCCATAAAAATACATCATTCGTCCGTTCGTGACTATATCTCCAACCCCTCAAACTGCAGCCTCCTTCAAGTACGCGAACACGATATATCATCACCACATACCCTGCTCGCTAATTCCTCTCTCCGCTTGATAAAAAACGAGATCCCCAGCAAGCACGACCCTCTTAGATGCGCTCTCAGAACTGAAGAAGCAGAGCCAGGCCATGCGACCTGACCACCAGAGTTTAAAAGACTCATTAGCCTTCCTCGTTCGGCCACTGGAGCCACTGTCAGTTCTCATCTGTATGCTATGGCTTCGGGGAGATCGCACTTCAGAGTTGCAATCCTGGCTAGGGACTTTGGACGGGCGTGCCTGGCTTCAGACACAAGGAGGGGAAGCCTGGATCCTGGAGACCCCAGGAGAGGAATGGCTGCAGACCGGTCGTGGGCGAGAGTGGCTGCAGACCCAAGGCGAGCAAGCGTGGGTACAGATCCCAGGCCAGGAAACCTTTGTGCACACCCATAACGCGCGACCCTGGCTGCAGACCGCGCGGGGGCAAGACTGGTTGCAGACCGCGCGGGGGGCGAGTCTGGCTGCAGGACACGTACGGGAAAGACTGGCTCCAGACCCAGGGAGGGCGCAACTGGCTGCAGACCCGGGGAGGACAAGCTTGGCTGCAGACCGAAGGGGGGCAAGACTGGCTTCAGATCCAGGAAGGGCAAGACTGGCTTCAGACCCAGGGAGGGCAAGACTGGCTCCACACCCCGGCTGGGCGAGAGTGGCTGCAGGCCGCGTGTGGGAAAGATTGGGTTCAGACCCAGGGAGGGATACGCTGGCTTCAGACTCAGGGAGGGCAGATCTGGCTCCAGACTCAGGGAGGGCAAGACTGGCTCCAGACCCAGGGAGGGCAAGACTGGCTCCAGATCCCGGGCGTACACGCCTGGTTGCAGACACAAAGAGGGAGACATTGGCTGCAGACCACGTGCGGGAAAGACTGGCTGCAGACTGAGGGAGGGCAAGACTGGCTCCGGACTGAGGGAGTGCAGGACTGGCTCCAAACTCAGGGAGGGCAAGACTGGCTCCAGACTCAGGGCGGGCGAGACTGGCTCCAGACCCCGGTCGGGCGAGCCTGGCTCCAGACGCCGCACGGCCAAGCATGGCAGTCCACTCCTGCAGCTTCTTTTTGGGTCACAATGGAAGAATTCTCGATGACGGTGGGAAACAATCGGCAACCATATCATTGCACCAGAATTGGCTTCACTGCCAGCCTTCAAAGTTATCCAGCAGCTCAAGAGCTTGCCGGATTTCTTGATGCTTCCGATATTCCTAGCGTTGATGCCCCAGTCTCATTACATTTCTACATCACCATCACGAGACGATCTTTCTCCACCGGATAGGGAGGTCGTCCACGCTATGATTGCCTTCATGGATTTTGCAAATGAAGCTCGGGAACGGAGTCGATCAGCTTCAGTCGCGTTGAAGTATGCCTGTCAAAACTGGGCCATGCATATTTCGCGCGCTCCGAATTCATGGGATGACACGTTCGACCGTCAATTCCACACCTTCTTGAATCGTCACCTCCTTTCCTGGCTCGAAATGCAGTGGTGTCTGAACGGCCTGCGGTCTTGCCTTGCAGTTATAACCGAAGGGCAGAAACATCTCAAGGTCGGTACGATTCTCATGTGTAAGCAGCAATAATTGATGTTGCCTTATATTAGAGGGAATCAAACATGTCGATTGTCACACTGATTATGTCGTTGATTCTGTTGTTGATTTTGTTGTCAATTTTTGAATGACAGAATCGGGTGGAATCGAGAGTCGTTGAAGCGGCTCTGGAGCCGCTGACGCCTCGATTCCGATTCCGATTTTCGAGTCTGTTCTTCAACCTGAATCGACCGTGAATCGACCATAAGTCTGAATGTCACATGTTCTCATCACTATTCAACTCGATTCTCGAACGACTCTCACCCATAGCACTTAATAATCGAAGTGTAGTTGAGTTTCGAGTGGCTCGACATCCACGGTGCCAGCATCTTCTCTTGTACTTTTTTCGTGACCCTGGGCCTTCAATTGATCCCCTCTTACTAGTACCAGTTTCGGCGTTCTTCAAGTTTTTCTTGCCTTCCTCGCTAGCGGATCTCGCAGGCGTTTTTCTACTTGCTTCTGCCATGAAAGTTCGGGTAATATCAGTGACAGGAGTTGTCATTTATCGTTCGTCTGTTGTAGTTGTGATTTCCCTACATGCTTTCGATTTAATTTATGGTCCTCAGGACCAAAGATAGACTCGAGGTTTTACTGCTAGCTGTGTGCCGTTGTCAGATCTTGAGCGTCTCCTGCGAGAACGGTTTCCGTCCCGTCAGAAGTACTGGACAGAGGCGGACCCAAAAATGATTTCGCTGGAAGAGGTGAAGAGGAACTTAGAAGAGGATAAAGAAGATGCAGAGCAGGGAAACCAGATGCAGCAGCAGATGATCGTGCTTCATCATGTCATGACAGTCTCCTCTAGTTTGGCGGCCTTTGAAAGGCGAGATTTTTATGCTAGGCTACTTATACATTCTGATGTGGGATATTGTGACTGCAATCAAGTGAGGTATTCCTTTGATTGTTCCATCCTGGACGAAATGCCGACATCTGCAATGTTGTCCCGTCCATTCTCTGGTCACTTTCGCGCAGATTAAAAAGCACACGGGATGCCAACATGCTGTGGAGGACAAGTTGTGGCCTGTCATGATGCATCAGTTATTTCATTAGACCATCCTAAACGAATTGCCACCCACACGTCCATCATTTCGTCGTATGATGCCTTCCCAAAATTAACAAAATTTGTCAAATGAGCAGATACACTATGCAACCTACCGGCACCACAGACATAATCAATATATTGAGCACAGAAACAACTGCAAGAAGGGCTTCAGCGCAGAACATGTTAAATCGAACAAAAGATCACCGCACAAATTATGGCAGTCATATACTTCACTCCGCCCTGGAAAACGACTCTCACTAGACGACTGTTAGAATCTCTGTAGTCTTGGTATCTCTTAAACACCGTTAAAGACATTATCACTGTGGATGGGATTGAAAAATCGTGCCAAGGTGGGATGGAAACGAGATATCCTTACACAGTTCGAAGGCCACGAGAAAGCCGTATTGAATGGCACTGCTGCGACCCGCTTCAAAAGTGCAGTTGCTGGTGGGGGGATCTTGAAAAGTAAAGTTGTCGTCTTCAACAAAGAGTGAGGAATAAGGGAGACCCACCTGAAGGGTTTGCAGGCGCCGCTAGATTATTAACAACTTGTGTAATACTAACACCGCACGCTATGCAAATCTGCATTGCGGTATTAATGGACCATCAGTCCGAGCATGCAACTAGAGAAACGTACTGCTGCCATGACCAGTAACACTGCCAAGAGCTTTTTGCTCTGTTTCCAGAACGCATATGTACGAATAATCAAAAGGCCTATATAAGAAAATGATAGATTTCAAGGCCAGAAGACAATAGAGTCATGGAGCGAACCTTCAGCCGATACAATACTGATGATGTGAATTGCTGCAGTAAAAATCAGTGACAAGACGCTGACTGTTCGGGATATCGATCACCATTTGAAGCCTGGCTGAAGGGCGCGCACTATATTCGATGTCCTTCAGTTCATACAAAAACCACAGTAAGCAAAACACACTAACATTTTCGTTCGCTCGTGTAGCGATGGCAGCTAGTTACTCATCAATGTCACATACCAGGAGATATTACGGGGAGCTGCTCACCATAGGCAGTCATGCCAGCTGCCACAAAGGCCATGTAGCGTGAAATCACAAAAAGAACACGACTAGCGTCCCAGCGCCTGTTCCATGTCCATCGAACCTTGCAACATTTGTCAAGAGATGTTCGAACTTTATGAAGAAATGCTCACCTCAGCTCCGAACGTTAAGAAATAGTCGAAAATCTACGAAGCGTAAGAGGGGATATTGTCCATGGTTAGTAGACCTACGTACCAAAACTCCTAGACCAGCCACTACGCATATTCAAGATGAACATAGTGGAAACCCCTGGATGAGGTTCACGTACCATTGCAATACTAGAGTCGTTGCAATCAATAAACCTCATCTGGAAAATATATTTGGGAACTCTTACCTTTGCCGTCTGAATTCCTGTATTGACTATGGGCGCAACCATTGCGAGATTAGTCTAGATAAGGCTCCAGAACTCGCTCTTATACGCCTAAATTTGAATCCGATGTCCGAGATTAAAATAAACTGCACAGGTGATTCAGTCAAAATCAGGTCCCGTCGATATCCGTATCGTAAAACTGATGGTGGCACTAGATCTCTCCACGCAGGGGAGTACTACAGGCACTGAGCTTGCCCATAAGAGTGAATTTGAAATTCAGCATTTGATCGCAGAAGAGCATTGGGCAATGTGTGCGGGTCGAAATGTTGAAATCTCTCAGCAGTGACAGTATGCTCTACTCTTTGGTAGTTACTACATTCCAGACGCCCATATACTATGCAGAGCAGGCTGTGGGCTGTTAGCAGCTGATCTGGGCATCATGCTCTCGGCGCGTTTCAACTTACATAGCCATCATCATGATCTCACACATTCGGGGTCATGGCACAGCAGAAAACTGGCAGCTCAGTTACTTGTCATATAGTGAGCTTAATTGCTGCAGAGGCCACTATGTTGTTCAACTTCAGCAGAGGGCCGAATGCTATATATCTTCACGTACCAATTAGGAGGGTTGAAAGAGAGCAGTTGGTCATTGTGCGCTTAACAAGCCGATGCCACTCACTACCACCAGATCAGAACATTCATATCACACCGGCATTGGTTTACGACACTTCCAGCTCAGAGAAGGGTCAAGGCTGTGTAACAAACAGATGATGAGCGTCATTGATAGTTCACGTTGTAGGTAGTCCATATGGGTGCCCGAAAGGGCACGTGCTGCCATGTGACCCAATTCAAGAATAGCGAACAAACCGCGCAAACAGGGAATGTCGCAGCGGGTACACGACCTACCCAAAGCAGAGCGACCAATGGGCACCCCGCCGTGATAGTCTGGCATACACTTTCAGCATCTGCAAGCGCAGGATTAAACTCCTGCGTGCGGTACACTGGGTCAGATCACAACAATGAGAGCAAAGATCGAGGTAGGAGACGTACCATCATAGCGCGACGAGCAACCCAGTCTCATGAATCGCTTGTGACCTTCATTGAAGGTGAGCACACCACGCACGTACGTACAGAATTTTCGTTGGTTCTGCTCATTGGCTTGGCATTTAATCTCGCCACGCCACCTGTGTTTCATACCATCAGACGGGCAGCTATAGCCAAGAACATTACCAGAAGACACCGCATGACAAAAATTGGAATAGCAGGAGTATAACATGCCTGCCGTCGAGGTGTATACCGTAATATCGCAACATCCTCAATGATATAAGAACACGCATGCAATCGCATGCCGTAAACGGTGTATTTCAAAGTCGAATTCCTCATCGAACGCGTACTCTCGTTCGTGAGTGCGATAGCATTTCGCCGTGCTAAGGATTGATGCAGATAATATGACTACGGGATCGCGCGAGCCGATGAGGGAGGTGCCAAGATCTAGTGGCGCGACACGCGTTAATGTCCTTTGAGGCACGTATGGATCTGTGGTCCGTGGCACCGCGGGTGAGAGCAGGAATAGGGCGAAGCACGTCGATTTTGTTGTAACTCGCGAGGCCGGGAGGAGTTCATTGAGAACATTTATTTGAGCTTGATAATGAAGCGACGGAGGAGGTTTTGATATGTTGTTGGTACTGTGGGCCGAGAGTACTACTGAATGTTTGAGTGTCTATTCGCATCGTCTGGATGACAGAAATTGAGTGTCTGCGTTCCCTGCGCGAGAGCAGCATAACGACGACGGTGTTCAGCGCTGCTGGTAAAGAAATCTCTTGATGTCGACGTATGGGCAGGAAAGAGTTGACACCAGGGACAAAATCAAGAACAGCCATTGTTAAGGCGCACGTATAGAATTTCGTAGTCTAGATATTACACAGCGTGTGCTTGGGACTGCGATCGTGATCCTGGGATTTTTCAAAGTAGAAACTGCAGGTCGCAGGCTTGGAAGAACACTATGGGATGCGAGTCTGCAAACACTTGGTCAGAAGATCGAGGACGAGTCGACATGCATACACATAAGCTGAGATCGCAATACTTAATGTGATAGTCATACCACACTCGTCGCACTGCGTCTAGCGGTACACGCAGGCGCCTTTGTGCTTGCCACTGTCCTTCTAGAGGATCAGCTCGCCGCATTGCATTTTAGAACAGGATCTCTTCGACTTACTGAGCGACGTTCTTGATGTGAGTTACCTCTGAATGTCTGCGTGCATCCAGTGACTCCGAGTCGGCCATGGCATTCGATAATGAGTTCGTCGATGAGCTGAGACTCTTATGCATGTTAGGATGTCGCGTACATTTGACCTGTCTTATTCGCATCTTCAAGTTTCACGATGGGATTCGCCGGTGACATATCGTCGAGGGAAAGCGAGGAGCCGGCGATGGGGTGGGGAGTGTTGTATATATGGATACAGTTATTATAATAGGATTGAAAAGAATTTATATGCGAAGTACCGAGTCCAGTGGATAGAGCAGATGATCCAGCCGGCGTGAGACACGATGTTTGGCTCTGTTAGGAATAGAAGGGTGTAAACCGTAATTTGAGATATATATAGTACTACTACTGAAGCTGAAATGCAGTGTTTTCGTTTACTGGTAAGAATCTAACGTAGCAGGAGTCGAGATGGAATTCGATCACGGACGTATATGCCTTATACTGCAAAATTTACAGGTTTTTATACATACTACCGTTAGTATTACATCATGCACCTGACCAACCTCGTGGCCTCCTGCAACCGAATAAGCACTGTGACACTCGTCCTTGAACTGTATCCATCCAGAAAGCTTTCCATAGAAACATCCATTTATCCCATCCCATCTCCATCGCGCTTTTTGACCCTAAGTTGACAACTTACTTTGACTCTAAACAGATCCTTCAAACCTTCGTACGTCGTCCCTCGAGATAAGTATCGCCTAGATGATTTCTAACCGCACCCAGCTAGTACTCTCAATTTGTCCGTTTCATCACGCATATCACAACCTTTGCGAATGAGTGAGGAACAATGTCAGTTTTTCTCTCACTCTTGTCCCTCTCGCTGTCTGACCCTTTTGACAGCTCTTGAAGGAACTTGGACGAGGCTGTCCCAAGTTGCTGTCAAGGGTGCTCAATATAACTCCCGTGAACGTCAGCCCCACCCAAAATGTTTAGAAGGGCACCGGGTGGATCTCCTCAAATTCATCCACGGATTCCTGGACGACCCAGAGAAGAATCAACTCGTTTGGCTGCATGGCACTGCAGGCGTCGGAAAGTCTGCCGTCGCGTTCACCGTAGCTGAGAGGATGAAAGGTCTAAAAGTGACAGAGCAGACGAATGTCGAAATGCGGCTAGCGGGAACTTTCTTTTTCTCGCGCAAGCACTCCAAACGTTGCACGGCTGGATATTTCTTTGTGACGCTTGTCTACCAGCTGGCCACCAATTTTCCAAGCATCCGGCAGGATGTGAACAGAGCGATCCGCAACAATCCTGCTCTACTAGACCCAGACGCGCCTCTCTACGATCAGATGGAGGCTCTCTTTCTCCAACCCCTCCGGAAACTTCAACTCAGATTCCGCGGGTGTCAGCCTCTGACATTTGTTGTCGATGCCCTTGATGAATGCACATCCGAACCCGAGCTTACCGACCTCATCCTTTCCCTCGCGCAGGCTCTTCGTGACCCTGATATTCCCGTGACCCACATTCTGCTCACAAGTCGCTTGGAAACCCATATCTCGGAAGCCTTTCAGAACGAAGAGGTGCGCCCGTTGTTGTGCGAAATCCCGGTGAAAACTTCTGGGGAGGGCGTTGCTGCCATCATCTCGCTCGACGGCGCCGATGTCGACACAGATATCTATATTTTCCTGCAGCATTCCTTCGCAAAGCTGGCAAGTCGCCATCCCGATTTCCCTCAGCCAACGAGGGATGAACTCGCGCAGCTGGCGAGCCGAGCGGGCAGACGTTTCATCGTGGCGTCTACAATGATGAAGTTTATTATCGACCATGAAGACGATGATCCCCGCGATCGGTTGCAGCTGATGCTGAAGCTAACGAGCGAGCTGCTACCGGGAACGGAGGTGTATAAGTTATACGATTGTATCCTCTCCACATGTGCTGACCCTAAGCGGGCTTACATGCACTTGTCCATCGTCGCCGCCCTCGCAGACCCTCTTCCCATCTCGCAAATCTCAACACTTCTTGGCCCTGGTCTGGGAAGGGATGTGCAGAAAACCCTAGTGCAGCTACGGTCTGTCATGGATATCCCTACAGACAGCACTCTCCCCATGAATATCTATCACTCGTCCGTTCGCGACTACGTTTCCGACCCCTCAAACTGCGGCCTCCCTCAAGTATGTGATATTGCATCACCCCACTCCCTCCTCGCACATTCGTCTCTCCGCTTGATGACGGAGATTACGGAAAGTACAGCTCTCTTGGATGCGCTCTCAGAACTGAAGAAACAGAGCCAAGCCATGCAACCTGAGGACCCCCATCGATTAAAATTTTCGCTATCCTTCCTTGTTCGGCCACCACAGCCACTTTCAGTTCTCGTTTGTATGCTATGGCTTCGGGGAGATCGTACTGCAGATTTACATTGTTGGTTGGGGACCGTGGACGGGTGTGCCTGGGTGCAGACCACGAATGGGCGAGACTGGCTACAGACCGAGGGAGGACGAGAGTGGCAGCTGCGGACCGAGGGGGGACGAGAGTGGCGGCTGCGGACCGAGGGAGGACTAGAGTGGTTGCAGACTTGGAGAGGACTAGAGTGGCTGCAGACCGAGGGAGGACTAGAGTGGCTGCAGACCGAGGGAGCACGAGACTGGCTGCAGACCCAGGAAGGACGAAACTGGTTGCAGACACAGAGAGGACGAGACTGGCTCCAGACCCAGGGAGGACGAGACTGGCTCCAGATCCAGGGAGGACGAGACTGGCTCCAGACCCAGGGAGGACGAGAGTGGCTGCAGGCCAAGGGAGGACGAGAGTGGCTGCAGGCCAAGGGAGGACGAGAGTGGCTGCAGAGCGATGGAGGACTAGGGTGGTGGTTGGAAACCCAGGGAGGACAAGACTGGCTGCAGACCCAGGGAGGACGAGACTGGCTGCAGACCCGGGGAGGACAAAACTGGCTGCAGACCCGGGGAGGACAAGACTGGCTGTAGACAGAGCGAGGACGAGAGTGGCTGCCAGACGAACGTGGCTGCAGACAGAGCCAGGACGAGAGTGGCTGCAGACAGAGCCAGGACGAGAGTGGCTGCAGACAGAGCCAGGACGAGAGTGGCTGCAGACAGAGCCAGGACGAGAGTGGCTGCAGACCGAGGGAGCACGCGAGTGGCTGCAGACCTGGACAGCACAAGAGTGGCTGCAGGCCGAGGAAGCAGGAGACTGGTTGCAGACCCAGGGAGCACGAGACTGGCTGCAGACCGAGGGAGCGCGAGACTGGCTGCAGACATGGACAGCACAAGAGTGGCTGCAGACTGAGGGAGGACGAGAGTGGCGGCTGCAAACCCAGGGAGGACGAGACTGGTTGCAGACCGATGGTGGACGAGACTGGTTGCAGACCGAGGGTGGACGAGACTGGTTGCAGACTGAGGGAGCACGAGACTGGCTGCAGACCGAGGGAGCACGAGACTGGCTGCAGACCCAGGGACCACGAGACTGGCTACAGACCCAGGGAGGACGAGACTGGCTCCAGACCCAAGGAGGACAAAACTGGCTCCAGACCGAGCGAGGACTAGACTGGTTGCAGACAGATAGAGGACGAGACTGGTTGCGGACACAGAATGGACACGACTGGCTCCAGACCGTGGGGGACGAGACTGGCTCCAGACGCCCCATGGCCAAGCGTGGCAATCCAGTCCTGCGGGCTCCGTGTGGGCGACTATGGAAGAATTCTGGAGCACGTTGGAAGCAATCAGCCACTATGACATTGCCCCAGAATTGGCTTTACTGCCAACCCTCAAAGTAGTCCAGCAACTCAAAAGCTTACCGGATTTTTTGATGTTTTCGATGTTCCTGGCGTTGATACCCCAAGATGATTTCACCTCTGCGTCACCAGAAGTTCCTGACAGAGAGATCATCCGTGCTATGAATCTCTTTATAGCTTTTGCACGCGAGGCACAGGAACGAAGCCAATCATCTTCCGACGCTCTCAAGTATGCATCTCAAAACTGGGTTGTTCACCTGTCGCGTGCTACAAATCCATGGAACAACGTTCTCAACCATATACTCCAGGTTTTCTGGAATCGTCACCTCCTTTCCTGGTTCGAACGGCAGTGGTGTTTGAAAGGACTGCGGTCTTGTCTTGATATCTTATCCGAGGGGCAGCAACTTGCAAAGGTTATTGCTTTGCTTCAGGTTCGACTGTTTTTTTTTTCAATTTGTGAAACCTCTTTTAATTCTCTCTCATCCTCAGTTTGAACCTTCAACGCGCAGCGTGATGAACGGTTGTCGGCCATCGGTCCTAATTCCCGGCACTCAATAAAGGAAGCTTCGGCCACCCTTCCCCTCTCTGAGGCCCAACACCGCTGTACTGCGTGTTGGCACATCCAGAAAGCGAACTTTCTGATCAATAGCAACAGCGCACTCGCCTCTAATAGCCCATCAAAACGTCTGAAATGAATCAAACGGTGTTTGCTACGCAAGACTGGTAGGAGCACTAGTAGGGCGCCGGATAACTTGTTAATATTAAAGATGTTGTCTCTAATCATCTGCCAGCGTCATTATGTACTTAGTTTGTGACTATTTAGTTCAGTATCTTCGCGTTCACTTTTCTGTATCAATCCACAGTACTAGATTTGAGTTTTATACCAGCAGAACAGCCTTTGCACACTTATTGCAAGCTCTCTTTACTAATAAGCATGGTGCTACATCGCCGTTCCAAAGACAATTACTCTTTTGCAGTAGTAGCCCATGATGTGCATGCCAACCATTAATTCTTGAATGGCACGTTGTCCATAGCACCTCACAGCTGGCACATCACTCATTCTCTGTTCCTTCACTTAGTGTACACTCATTTTGGCCTTTTCCTAGCAAACACAGCGGCGTTCGCTCTCAGAGTCTCGATATTTTGAATCACATCTCTATCCTATTGGAAATCGTTACTCCGACCGTCTTACGTCTACCCAACTACCCGACTGTGTTTCGTAGCGCGCAGTCTCATAGTAATATGCAACTACTAATAATTATCTACCTAAATATGGGGGATCATTTGCAAAGGGTTGTTGTTTTGCAAACCTTCGGAGTAGATTGACGATGTTGTCATGAAGTCTACGTCCTAGCATCATGATCCAGCCCGATTCACGTATTAACGTTTTAACCTTGTCCAGACAATTGTGCGCATCTTTCTCAAGTCTAGTTCACCATGCTCTGGCCACTCACTACACGTGGTTCTGCCTGGCTGTGCAGTAGCAGATATGACTGGCTAGTAATGACGTCGGCATGCACATACTATGCCCCTCCTTGCAAAGCGTCTCACTTGCGGAGTCTATATGGTTGCACAGCACCCGGCGCAGTTGGGTGCCGTTGGCTGATCTTGAGCGTCTCCTGCGAGAATGTCAGAGGCTATTTCTGTATCATCGGAAGAATTAGATAGAGCCTGCGGATCCAAGAACGATTTCGCTGAACAGGTGAAGAATAATGTAGGAGAGATACAAAGCAGGGAAATCAGATGGAGCAGTAGATGATCGTGCTTCGTGACAGTACTTATCTTCCTCCTTGATAGGCGAACACTCTTTTTATGTCACATCTGCATTATGATGGGCCATGCCATGATTATAGGATACAATCAATCGAATGAAGTGTATTGGTTGCGCTGAACTGGACGAAATGTCGACAACTGTAACGTCGTTGTCCCCCCATCCGATTCATCCTTGTCACTTTCACGCAGACCAAAGAGCACACGGGTTGCCAACATACTGTGCAGGACAAGTTGTGGCCTGTCATGATGCCATCAGTTTTTTATTACACCATTATAAACGAATTGCTACGCACACGTCCATCAACATGTTATATGATGCCTTCCCAAAATTAGCAAAAATTGACGAACGGATACAACATGCAGCCTACTGGCACCGCAGACATGATCACTATATTGGCCACAGAAACAACTGGAAGGAACGCTTCAATACGGGACATGTTAAATTGAACACAAGACACCGCACAAATTATGGCAGTCATATACCGCACTGCGCCCTGGAAGACGACTCTCACTAGACGACTGTCGGAATCTTTGTAGTCTTGATATCTCTTGAACACCATTAAAGACATCAGCACTGGGTGGATGGCATTGAGAGATCGCGCTAAGATGGGACGGAAACAAGATATCCTTACACAATTCGTAGGCTATGAGAAAGCCGTATTGGACGGCGCTGCTGCGACCTGCTTGAAAAGTGCAGTTGCTTGTAGGAGGAGCTTTAAAACCAAGGTTGTCGTCTACAACAATGAAAAAAGAATAAAGGGGACCCACCTGAAGGGTCCGGGGCAGGCGTCTCTAAGTTACTGACAACATCTGTGATACTGACAGCACACGCAATGGTAATCTACGTTGCGACATCAACAGACGATGAATATGAGCACGCATGACAAGACCAACGTACTGCTGCCAAGACCAGTAACACTGCCAAGACCTTTTTGCTCTGTTTCCAGAATACATATGTACGAATGATCAAAAGACCTTGAAAAATAGAGATAGAATTTCAGGCCTAGAAGACATTATAGACATAGACCGCACCTTCAGCAGCGACGATACTGATAATGTGAATTGCTGCAATGGAATCAGTAAAATGCTGGCTACTCAAGATATTGATCACCATTTGAAGCCCGGCTGAAGTCCGAGCACTATATTCGATGTCCTTCAGTTCATACAACAACCACATAAGCAAAACACACTAACATTCTCGTTCGCTCGTGTAGCAATGGCAGCTAGTCACTCGTCAACGTCACAAACCAGGAGATACGGGTAGCTGTTCACCATATGAAGTCATGCCAGCTGCTGCAAAGGCCATGTAGCGTGAAATTACGAAAAGAACACGAGTGACGTTCCAGCGCCTGTTCCACGTCAATCGAACCTTGCGACATTATCAATAGATGTTCGAACTCGATAAAGAATACTCACCTCAGGTTCGAACGTTAAGAAATAGTCAAAAATCTATGGAGCATAAGAGGGGATATTTTCCATGGCTTGTAGGCCTACCAAAACTCCTAGACCAGCCACTGCACATATTCAAGATGAAAATAGCGAAAACCCCTGGATGCAGTCCACGTACCATTGCAATACTAGAATAGTTGCGGTCAATAAACCTCGTTTGGAAAATATATTCGGGAATTCTTACCTTCGCTGTCTGAATTCCCGTATTGACTATGGGAGCGACCATTGCGGGATCGTAATAGATAAGAGTCCAGAACTGCAGAACTCGCTTTTATACACTTCCATGATCTGAATTTGCCTGATTGTATCCGGTTCGTAACTTTGCATGCGCCGTGTCACCGGCGAGATCAAATTAGATTGCACAGGTGATTCAGTCGAAACCAGTACCACTGCGGTCCTGTCCGTATCGTGAAACTGGAGGCCCAATGTAGCAAACGCGGAGCACCGGCACTACTCCATAAGCAGCTGCTCGCTGGCAAGAGTGAATTTTAAATTCCAAGAGAAGAGAACCATGCTATTCGTGGCGTGCTTCAGCGATTTTTGCTCTACTCCTTGGCGATTACTATTTTGATGCAAATGAAAGAACGCGCCCATATACTAGTATGCGGAACCATTGTGAGCTGATTTGGGCATCGGCGCGTTTCAACTCACATTTTCATCATCTCGTTGTAGGACGCCTCCGGTGATTATCAAGGTCAATGCAGTGATAATCAAAGTTGATGCAGTGATAATCAAGGTTCAAGGTTAATTGAACAGCGGAAAACAGTCCAATTACTTGCCATGAAGGAGATGATAATCTTTTTTATTGCAGAAATACGATGTTGTTCGATCTCAGCAGAGCGGTGATATCGTCACACACATCCCAAGAAGAGCATCCGGATGAACAGGTTTTCGAAGTCCGGTAGTCTCGGTGTTTTAAAAACAGCTAGATAATCAGAAGATTCAGAACGCACTCCGGAATCGCATATATATAATAAGATTGAGAAAACTAAGTCGCAATCCTTTAGTGGACAAAAAATCTCGAATCAGATTAGGAAGCAGGAACACACCTCGGCCGTTTATATATATGACCGGTGGTACAACATATCGCACGTCTAGTGGTCAATGAGCTATAATCCCCTCTGAATGACTTCCTCGGTGCAAACAATGTATGATCCAGATGACAAGGTGTCGGTCAAGTCGAATACTTTCACGATCACCTTACAGTGGGTTCATGGTAGCATGTAGCACAGACTTAGACCGCGAGAGTACCGTACATCAAAGCATGCCACGATCAACACGCTTCTTTGCTCGCATAGCCCATGTGCATTGGTCGGAAGAGATAGAGGTAGTGCTTGTTGAAGGAGATCAATCACTGCGTCATGATGGCGTCTTGGCACAGGTGTTCTCCTGAATAGTGCCACACAGTCCATCACGCACTTGCTCATCATTTGATCGGTGGCACGACGATCTGTGATGACTCGGAGAACTTGAAATTTTTCAAGACCGGTGATTCCGCAGTAGTTACCCTCACAGCGATTCTGTGGGAGGGGCGGGACGAATGATGCACATGGCAGATTGGACAATTATGATGGACGAAGTTATATATACGCGCGTATGATCTACTGAGTAGAAAATAGCAGTTACGTATCACGTCTAACACGTGTTCAAGCTAAGCCAGGGCAGGATGTTCTGTCAGTACTACGACGCGGGCGTAGCTATTTTGATGCGGTCCTGCCGCGCCTGCCGCGGTCGTGACGCGGGTGTGACGCGGCATTCACGCGGCTACTAAATGCGGTACTATTATGGTACGCGCAATCGGCAGCCCCCAGAAGTCGGCACTTTCACAAAACTCGTGTTTCCAGCTACCTAAACACAAAATTATTTACATAGACATCATTCTCTCTCTAACACAACTCAATATGAGGTCAAACGAATACATTTGAAGCAGAATTGAATGAGATAGCTGAAAGTGCCGAAGTCACGCAGAAATGTCACCTGCCGATATATGCCGTGACGGAGTTTCAATACTGCACACACCAGTGCCGACTGGTGCTGTGCTGCTGGTCATGGGGCTAGAGCAGCGTGAAAAGGATAAGGCCGACGCGGAGAAGCAGGCCAAAAAGAAGACAGAAGATGAAGCGCGCCACACTCAGATCGAACGCGATATCGAGTCGAAGACGTTTGATGCACTCTCAACACTCCGGCGCAAGGATGATTTTATCGCACTTGCTGGCGCTCTCAAGATTTCAAGAGACGGAACGGTTGAGGAACTCAGGACTAGACTCAAAGAGTTTCTTGCTGATGCCGCAAATCAGCACTTTGCCGACAATCCACGTTTTGCTGCGCTCTTCCAGACGGGAAAAACGCGTTCGAAGAATAAGAATTTAGCCACTGCGTCATCGACAGGACAGGCTAGTAGTGGCGCCTCGCAAGACAATGACGCTACCTCATCCAACAATTCCGGTACTCATTTTTTCACCCCACCTGCCAGTGCACATTCTTTTAATCCATATTATCCTCCACACTTTACTAACCAGCCATATTTTCATCAATTCTATGCTAATCCAGCTCTCCGCGCACCATCTTACTCTACAACGCAACATAATAATTCATCCGGCGGTCCCATTGCGTCATCATCAAACTTAGACAGACAACCTCAGCATCCTTACAACACACACAGTCTCCCTACACATCCCCCTCAATTATACAACTACGGCACTAATCATGGTCACCCTCGTACTTAGATTCTACTAGTATATACTGTACTTGCTTGCTCACGCCGAATACTAACTCACTTCCTTGCGCTCCTGCTTGACTGCCGAGCTGACTTTGAAACTGGCTCAGTAACATGTCGTGACTTACTGTGACATTTGCGTGACTGCCGACTTTTGGGGGCTGCCGATTGCGCGTACCATAATAGTAGTGTAACTCATTCCTATGTTCTATACTCGACTCTCACATCAAGTTGAATGGGTTCATGATCGTTCCTTCGTTGATTTTATTCACCATAGGCACATACACTACAAGCTAGTCATCAGCTAATGACTATTTTCTTGGCACTGACGAGCCTTGACGCGGGAAAGTTGTCTCAGACGCTTTGGCAGGGTCAATGACTTCACTAATTTTTTTTGACGCGTGTGACCTGAGACCGATAATGCTGTTGATAACCTTTGAGGAGCGCTCTTGCTGCATCTTCGAGTTCGGCTTGAGAACGTGGATCCTCGGAGTCGCAATCGGTCCAGAATGTCATGAATGGTTGAGTAAATCTCACTCATTCAGCCTTGCTTCATGAGTCGATTACATTACCTGTTCTACTTGTCGAATTTGAGTTCGCAAAGAGCATCAGTGAAACGGCGCACCCGAGCGGTCATGGCAGGAAATCAGGTCCCCAACCAGCGGTTGATCTGAACGATTTTGATCCCCTCTCTCACTGGAATAGAAAAAATTGAATACATGTTGGATTAATTCCTAGAGTATGGTGCACCCCGTATCTCAAAGCACTCACAAAAGGCATGGGTATATAGATTTTCAACAGCGCGATACCAGTTCTGCCCTAGGCCATAGGAGTGGAGGCTGGAGTAATGATTTTTTGGAGTGCCCCTGTCCGTAGAATGCTTGTATATCTAACTTACTAAGTGACACTGACAGTTATTAAAATAAGGTTTGACGCGGCATGTATAGGTCTGACGCGGCATGGATGATGTCTGACGCGGCCGTGACGCGGCATTGACGTGGCACAACTTGATTGACGCGCCTGTGACGCGGCACTGACGCGGCATGTGCTATGCTTGACGCGGCATACAAGTGGGCCCTGACGCGGCATAGGAAAGTGTGGAAGTTTACATTAGTACAGAGGCTGCGAATATGTTGGAGAGAACTTGTCGTGGTGTGAGTAGTGCTTGACCCAGCCTGACTGAAGCTTGACATGGCATGGTTGGGGGGGCTTGACGTGGTAGTACAGAGTACAGAGGCTCCCGGACTTGATAAAGTGGGGTCGAGACTTGACACAGTGACACGATATTTCACACTGCTGTCTGAAAACAAACGTTGGATCAATGATTAGATCGATCAGAGACAATACAATACAAACACAAGAGGCACAGAACATTCCCCAAGAAGTACGAACACGGGCCGCCAGGATCAAGCAAATTGGTGAGAGGTGAATGCTGCATTTCAGGGCCTGTACGCAGATGGACACTCATATATTGATCATGAGCGAGGATTCAAAGTGTTTGGAATTCATTTAGAGCGACGTAAGATAGTGTTTGAACATAATCTGTACCCTAGTATTTGTGACGGGGCCACGTCACATAAGACGCGTTACAGGCGCGTCACGACCGCGGCAGGCGCGGCAGGACCGCGTCAATTTCACCTGGCCCCTACGACGCGTTTCGCGTAGCTTAGTCATCATTTAATGTCTTCTCCGTTTTTCCTTCGGAGGCCATTTTCTACAAGCATCAGATGCTCCTACAGGACCAAGAATATTCCTGAGGATATAGTCGCGAAGGCACTCACGAAACAGCCAACAGGACGCGGTCGTTCCAAGGATATCCAAAGCATCGAGGACGTCAAGCCCGAAGCTGAACCCCAAAGTGCCTCGACTTCGAAAGCTGTTCGCAAACCCAAGACACGGAAAGCTAACATACCACTCCCGGTCGACAGATTTGAGCTGCCCCCGCGTTCGAAATGGCGGAACTACTTTCCCACTAGCGGCATGGCATTCAAAAGTCGTATTTCCATCGCTAATCCCGAGACGGCGGCACTAGTTGCAGAGTCATTCGTTCCTAGCGGTTCGAAGGATAAAGTTATTATAGAAGCGTATCCCGGTGAGGGTTCCGATATTTAAACTCCAATGTTTTAGTACTTACAGAGCCCACAAAGGGCCTGGTACGTTGACTCGCGCTTTGATGCAGTTGCCGAAAGAGCGAATCCGAAAAATCATTGTGCTTGAGGACGTAGAACAGTACCTCAACTTTCTGAATGTGCGAAATGAGCTTTATAGAGTTTGATCATGCTGATAGTTTTCGACAGCCGCTGCAGGAAGCGGACCCTAGAGTACAAGTTCTGCCAATGAACGGCTTTTCGTGGGACACGTATCATCAGCTAGACGTCCAAGGCTTCCTGGACGACGTGGAGAATATTCCATGGAATCAATCAAATCCCTATCTACACTTTATCTCGCACCTTCCCATGGATGTTCTGGGCGAGCAGCTCTTAGCACAACTATTACGATGTGCACCAGAACAGTCCTGGCTGTTCAAACACGGCCGCATTCCAATGAGTTATCTAATGCACGACTGGGTATGGGATGTAAGTGGTCTCATTCCACAAACTAGTTATCCCTGTCTGACACAAGCGATAGCGTATCTCTGCGTCTACTGAGGATCCGGCTCGGTGCAAGCTAAGCGTCATCGCACAAGCCGTTTCTGAGTTTAATCACACCATTGACCCACGGCTGCTGGTACCATATAATAATCATTTCTACCCTGATGCTACAAATCCTGCATATTCTTCAAAGACTGAAAACAGGCGCAGAGGTACGCCATTCGTAGCAGGTACATTCAGACCATTGGAGCATCAGGTACTTACCATGTTTCTTGCACATTTAAATCACTGACGTCATGCGCAGATCATTCAGTCAGGCATGCTGGACAAATGGGATTACTGCCTACGGAAACTCTTTGTGCTAAAGTCGACCCCTCTCAAGAACGCCGTTGGGTATGCTCAGAATTCACTTTTAATGGTGAAAAATTTATCGACCTTCCCCTAGTCATCTAGCACCTGGATCAGATGTTTTAAAGTCCTACCTCACGGGCGATGATGTTCCACTCGATCAGAGGACTGACATGAATAAGATCATCAAGAAAATGGGTGTAGAAGACTGGGCTGCTGTCGTCAGCGCCTTCGACCGGTGGCCCTTTGCACCTGAGGTAGATTCCAATAGCTTGACCTTGGCACTGGCTAATACGTACTTTCCCTGCAGGAACTCTTGATCACGGATTCTTTCAGCAGAGACGAACGTATATAACGCTTAGTATGATATTACTCCTCTACTGGATGCATCACTCGACGAGGGGTCATGATGGCGGGACTGTGTATCTTATCCCTAAGAACCCGTCATATGCGCAGATATCCCTGCTCGGATAGCGCGCCCATGTATGCCAAACCCTCTCCTTACTGTGCATGTCACAGAAGGAGCCAATTTGGCAATTCGATGTTTATACCGCTGGTACAATAGCAGTAGAGGTTATCATTAACTGGATGACGAATTCGAGCTAAATATCCAGACTAAAGCCCGGCAATTGATCGATCATCCACATCTCGACAAAAAATCCAACTTTGTAAATCGTGGTGGATGGATGGTTTATTAACCAGAGTGGCTAAACTCGAGTCGAGCACCGATATCGGTTAAGACTTTCAAAGCCGGATTATGGACAATCGAGGCCTGAACCTGACAGCACCATGTACTTACGAACTAATATACATGTCACAAAGCAAGAAGATATAAGCCAAGATTGAAATATTCAGATTAAATATTGAGGTGCGGGTGACAACCTATGATAGTTCTTCTCTGTCAGAGCCCACATATAGTAGCAAACACCTAGACTTCGATATGGCGCCCAAGACGCGGTTAAGTCTTCCGTTTCTTTCGGAGTAAGGAACGCTCCTCTTCGGAAAGCCTTGATGAGAAATAAAATGACAAGAGAAAAATCCAGGTGACATGCTTGATCTTCTTTCTTTCTAGATAGCCTCGATTTCAAATCTGCGGCTCTAACCTTTGGCAAGGGGTTCTGAATTTTCACGGAATACTGCGCGAATACGTAACTCAGTTGACAGTGACGCTGAACGCATCGATGCCGGCACAGCTGTGTCACACCCCGCAGTCTTCCAGTTCCGATAGATTAATTTATCGTAGCTGGCCCTCTCATATCCATACTTAGGAGTGGAGACGGAATTCGAACGCAGACGGGCTCGCTGGCGCTCAGCGGCTACTGCAATTTACAGGTTTTTACTTATTTAATACAAGGAGTTGACTTCACAGCAACCTTGGCCTCCTGCAACTGGACGAGCTCCCAACGCCCAGTACTCGTCCTTAGACTGTGTCACCCACCACCACCCAGCAAGCTTTCCATTCCATCTCCATCGCGCTTCGCGATCGGGAGCCTTGACAACTTACTTCGACTCCAACAAATCCATACTTTGATTCAAATCTTCGTACGTCGTCCCTCGACATAAGTATCGCCCAGATGATTTTTAGTCGCACCCAGCTACTAATATTTTCAGTTAGTTCGTTACATTTCGCATGTCGCAAACTTCGTCAATATGAGTAACAATCAATGTCAGTACTTCCATCTCTTATCTCTCGCGTGCTCTCTAACCTCTTTAACAATTCTTGAAGGAACTTGGGCGACGCTGTTCGAGGTCGCTATCAAGGGTGCCCAATATAACTCCCGTGAGCGTCAGCCCACCACATCTCTCAAGCCTTTCAGAACATGTTGACAACGACATCTATACTTTCTTGCGGCATTCCTTCAAAGAACTGAAAAGTCGGCATCACGATTTGCCTCAGCCATCGATGAATGACCTTGCGAAGCTGGCGAGCTGAGCGGGCAGACGTTTCATCGTGGCGTCTACGATGATGAAGTTCATTATCCACGATGAAGACAATGATCCCTATGATCGGTTACAGCTGATGTTATAGCTCACGAGTGAGCTGCTACCTGAAACGGAGGTGTACAAGTTATACGATTGTATCCTCTCCACGTGTGCCGGGCCCAAGCGGCCATACCTACACTTGTCCATTGTCGCCGCGCTCGCAGACCTTCCCATCTCACAAACCTCAACACTTCTTTGCCATGGTGTAGGAAGGGATGTGCAGACAACGCTAGTGCAGCTACGGTCTGTCATGGATATCCCTACAGACAGCACTCTCCCCGTGAGTATCTATCATCCGTCCATTCGCGACTATGTTTCTGGCCCCTCAAACTGCGGCCTCCCTAAGTACGCGATATCACATCACCTCATTCCCTACTCGTACGTTCGTCCCTCCGCTTGATGAAGGCAGTTCCAGAAAGCATGGCTCTTTTGGATGCACTCTCAAAACTGAAGAAGCAAAGCAAAGCTATGCAACCCGAGGATCCCGTGGATTACAAGACTCCTTGTTCGGCAACTGGAGTAACTGTCAGTTCTCATCTGTATGCTATGGCTTCGGGGAGATCACACTTCAGAGTTGCAATCCTAGCTAGTGACTCTGGATGGGCATGCCTGGCTTCAGACGCAAGGAGGGGAAGACTGGCTGCTACAGACCCATGGAGAGCGAGCCTTTCTATAGACCGCGCGCGGACGAGACTTGTTGCATACCATGCGTGGGCAAGCCTGGCTGCAGGGCACGTGCGGGAAAGACTGGCTTCAGACCCAAAGAGGGCAAGACTGGCTCCAGACCCCGGGCGTGCAAAACTGGGTACAGACCCCGGCAGAGCGAGACTGGCTGCAAGCCACGTGTGGGAAAGATTAGCTGCAGACCCAGTGCGGGAGACGCTGGCTACGGACCACGTCCGGGAAAGACTGGCTGGACACCCCGAGAGGGCGAAACTGGCTCCAGACGTAGAATCGGCGAGAGTGGCCCCAGACCGGGCAAGCCTGGCTCCAGACGCTGCACGGCCAAGCATGGGAGTCCACTCCTGCGGGGTCTGTCTGGGTCACAATGAAAGAATTCTCGAGGACGGTGAAAGCAATCAGCGAGCACATCATTGCACCAGAGCTGCTTTCACTGCCAGCCTTCGAAGTTATCCAGCAGCTCAAGAGCTTGCAGAATTTCTTGGTGTTTCCGATGTTCCTAGCGTTGAGGCCCCAGTCTCATTCCATTTTCTGCGTCACCATCACTAAACGATCTTTCTCCACCGGATAGGGACGTTATCCATGCTATGATGGCCTTCGTGAATTTTGCAAACGAAGCGCGGGATCGGAGTCATTCAGCTTCAGTCGCTCTGAAGTATGCCTGTAAACACTGGACCATGCATATTTCGCGCACTCTGAATATATGGGAGGACAGGCTCAACAATCTATTCCATACTTTCTTGAATCGTCACCTCTTCGCCTGGCTCGAAATGCAGTGGTGTCTGAACAGCTTGCGGTCTTGCCTTACTGTTATAGCCGAAGGGCAGAAACTTATCAAGGTCTGTGCGATTCTCGTGTGTGAAGCAGCAACAATTGATATTGTCCGCAGCAGACCGTCTTCAAGCCATTCGGGAAGGTATGCTAGCCAATGGAAATTACGCGGGGGATGAGCGGCTGCTCAACGTCGAGTGGAGAAGGAGAGAAAATGTAGTGTGTAAGGAGATGCCTCGGGGGCCAGCCGTATTCTGCACGGTCGGTGTCACCTTAGTGCGAAAATACCACCTGACAAGCGACGGAGACAGGCAAGGGCCCACTGCAGCAGTAAAGCATATATACGACGCAAGGCCGTCGTGCATGACACAGTGCCGCGTCACATGGGACAGGCGCGGCAGAACCGCGTCAAAATAGCTACGCCCGGCCGTGTTAGGAATAGAAGGGTAAGTAGTAAGTACCAAGGTACATTGATACTAGGGCTTCGCCGTGCGAACTTACTCCGCAATTTTTTTTTCAAAGGGTATGTTACATGACTTTATGGTACTATACTACTATCCCTTCCACTGCAATCGGCACCCCACAGAAGTCGGCACTTTCACAAAACTCGTATTTCTAGCTACTTCAACACAAAATTCTTAGTATAGATATCATTCTCTCTCTAATGCAACTCGTTGCGAGGTTGAACGACCATGATTGAAGCTTGAAGCAGGATTGAGTGAGATAATTGTAAGTGCCGAAGTCACGCAGAAATGTCACCTGCCGATATGTGCCATGACGGAGTTTCAAACTGCACACCCATTTTGGAAGTGCCGACTCGTGCTGCAGCGCTGCTGGTCATGGGGCCGCATTCGCAAGTCTAGCAGCGAGAGATGGGACGGTCGAGGAACTCAGGGCAAGAATTAAAGAGTTTCTTGCTGACATCGGAAATCAGCACTTTGCTAACAAACAATGTTTTTATGCACTCTTCCAGGCGGGAAAAACACGTTCGAAGAATTCAGCCACTGCGTCATGAGTCAACAGGACCCAAATTTACAACTACAGCACTAATAATGGTCACCCTCGTACTTGGACATATCTACTAACAAATACTGTACTTGCTCGCTCACGCCGAATACTAACTGATCTTCAAGTTGCGCTCTTGCTTGACTGCTGAGCTGACAGCCTATGTGACATGTCGTGACTTGCAGTGACATTTGCGTGACTGCCGACTTCCGTGGGTGCCGATTGCAGTGGAAGGGATAGTAGTGATTCTGTTGACTGGTTGTGCGTGAATACGTTGAAAAACTCTGTATTATTCTGTAGTTGATTGTGGTTGAGTTTATGTCTACGTAGGCAGAATTGTATGCGACTGCTTAAGATCGCGTGACTGCACACAGTGCACAGCATGATGTTCGTGTCACTTGACTCGCATATTATCCACTTCTACTACTACTAAGCTGAAGCTGAAATGCAGTGTTGGTAAGAATCTGACGTAGAATCGAGATGGAATTAGATCACAGACGCTGCAGCGCCTCATACTGCAAAATGTACAGGTTTTTACTTGTACAGGAATATCTTTCCTATGTAGTACTTCATTGAACAGCATCTGACGTCATACTACTAAGTACAGCATGCACAGCAACTTTGTGGCCTTCTGCAGCCGGACAAGCGCCCAGCACTCGTTCTCGAACTGTATCATCCACTACCATCCAGCAAGCTTTCCATAGATTCAAACATCCATTTATCCCATCCCATCTCCATCGCGCTTTTGGACCCTAAGTTGACAACTTACTTTTACTCTAACAGATCCTCCAAACCTTCGTACGTTATCCCTGGAGATAAATATCGCCCAGATGGTTTCTAATCGCACCCAGCTAGTGCTCTCAATTTTTTTTTCATTTCATCACGCATATCACAAACTTCGCGAATGAGTGAGGAACAATGTCAGTTTTTCTTACTCTTGTCTATCTCTCGCTTTCTGACCCTTTTGACAGCTCTTGAAGGAACTTGGACGAGGCTGTCCCAAGTTGCTGTCAAGGGTGCTCAATACAACTCCCCTGAACGTCAGCCCCACCCAAAATGTTTGGAAGGGACCCGGGTGGATCTGCTCAAATTCATCCACGGATTCCTGGACGACCGAAAGAAGAATCAACTTATCTGGCTGCATGGAACTGCAGGCGTCGGAAAGTCTGCTGTCGCGTTCACCGTAGCTGAGAGGATGAAAGGTCTAAAAGTGACAGAGGAGACGAATGTCGAAAAGCGACTAGCGGGGACATTCTTTTTCTCGCGCAAGCACACCAAACGTTGCACGACTGGATATTTCTTTGTGACGCTTGCCTACCAGCTGGCCACCAATTTTCCAAGCATCCGGCAAGATGTGAACAGAGCGATCCGCAACAATCCTGCTCTACTAGACCCAGATGCGCCTCTCTGCGACCAGATGGAGGCTCTCTTTCTCCAACCCCTCCGGAAACTTCAGCTCAGATTGCGCGGATGTCCGCCTTTGTCATTTGTTGTCGACGCCCTTGATGAATGCACATCTGAACCTGAGCTTGCTGATCTCATCCTTTCCCTCGCGCATGCTCTTCGTGACCCTGATATTCCCGCGATCCACATTCTGCTCACAAGTCGCTCGGAAACCCATATCTTTAAAGCCTTTCACAACGAAGAGGTGCGCCCGTTGTTGTGCGAAATACCTGTGAAAACTTCTGGAGAGGGCGTTGCTACCATCATCTCGCTCGACGGCGCCGATGTTGACAAAGACATCTATACTTTCTTGCAGCATTCCTTCGCAGAGCTGGCAAGTCGCCATACTGATTTTCCTCAGCCATCCAAAGACGATCTTGCGAAGCTGGCGAGCCGAGCGGGCAGACGTTTCATCGTGGCGTCTACCATGATGAAATTCATTATCGACGATGAAGACGATGATCCGCGCGATCGGTTGCAGCTGATGCTCAAGCTAACGAGCGAACTGCTACCAGGAACGGAGGTGTATAAGTTATACGATTGTATCCTCTCCACGTGTGCCGACCCCAAGCGGGCTTACATGCACTTGTCCATCGTCGCCGCGCTCGCAGACCCTCTTCCCATCTCGCAGATCTCGTCACTTCTTGGGCCTGGTTTGGGCAGGGATGTGCAGAGAACACTGATACAGCTACGGTCTGTGATGGATATCCCTACAGACAGCACTCTCCCCATGAATATCTATCACTCGTCCGTTCGTGACTACGTTTCCGACCCCTTAAACTGCGGCCTTCCTGAAGTATGTGATATCGTATCACCCCACTCTCTACTAGCTCATTCGTCTCTTCGCTTGATGACGGAGATTACGGAAAGCACGGCTCTCTTGGATGCGCTCTCAGAACTCAAGAAACAGAGCCAAGCTATGCAACGTGAGGACTCCCATCAATTAAAAGTTTCGCTGTCCTTCCTTGTTCAGCCACCAGAGCCACTGTCAGTTCTCATCTGTATGCTATGGCTTCGGGGAGATCGTGCTTTAGAATTACAACATTGGCTGGGGACCGTGGACGGGTGTGCCTGGGTGCAGACCACGAATGGGCGAGACTGGCTGGAGACCGAGGGTGCACGAGATTGGATGCAGACCCAGACAGGACGAGAGTGGCTGCAGACCGAGGGAGCACGAGAGTGGCTGCAGACCGAGGGAGCACGAGAGTGGCTGCAGACCGAGGGAGCACGAGAATGGTTACAGACCGAGGGAGGACGAGACTGGCTGGAGACCGAGGGAGGGGCGAGACTGGCTGGGAGAGCGAGGGAGGACGAGAGCGGCTGGAGACTCAAGAAGGACGAGAGTGGCTCCAGACCGAAGGAGGACGAGAGTGGCTCCAGACCGAGGGAGCAGGAGACTGGCTCCGGACCTGGAGAGGACGAAACTGGCTGCGGACCGAGGGAGGATGGGACTGGCTGAGCGACGAAGGACGAGAGTGGCTGCAGACCGAGGGAGGACACGAGTGGCTGCAGACCGAGAGAGGACGAGACTGGCTGCAGACCCAAGGAGGACGGGAGTGGCTGCAGACCGAGGGAGGACGAGAGTGGCTGCAAACCGAGGGAGGACGAGACTGGCTGCAGACCGAGGGAGGACGAGACTGGCTGCAGACCGAGGGAGGACGAGAGCGGTTGGAGACCGAGGGAGGACGAGAGTGGCTGCAGACGTGGAGAGGACGAAACTGGCTGCAGACCGAGGGAGGACGGATTGGCTGCAGACGTGGAGAGGACGAGACTGGCTTGCAGACCGAGGGAGGACGAGACTGGCTGCAGACCGAGGGAGGACGAGAGCGGTTGGAGACCGAGGGAGGACGAGAGTGGCTGCAGACGTGGAGAGGACGAAACTGGCTGCCAGACCGAGGGAGGACGGGATTGGCTGCAGACGTGGAGAGGACGAAACTGGCTGCAGACCGAGGGAGGACGAGACTGGATGAGAGACCGAAGGAGGACGAGATTGGTTGGAGACCTGGAGAGGACGAGACTGGCTGGAGACCTGGAAGGGACGAAAGTGGCTGAAGACCGAGGGAGGACGAGACTGGCTAGAGACCGAGGGAGGACGAGACTGGCCGGAGACCGAGGGAGGACGAGACTGGTTGCAGACCGATGGAGGACGCGAGTGGCTCCAGACCGAGGGAGGACGAAAGTGGGTGCAGACCGACGATGGACGAGAGTGGACCCAGGGAGGACGAGAGTGGCTTCAGACCGAGGGAGGACGAGAGCGGCTGGAGACTCAAGAAGGACGAGAGTGGCTCCAGACCGAAGGAGGACGAGAGTGGCTCCAGACGAGGGGAGCAGGAGACTGGCTCCGGACCTGGAGAGGACGAAACTGGCTGCGGACCGAGGGAGGATGGGACTGGCTGCAGGCCGAGGGAGGACGAGAGTGCTGCAGACCTCGAGAGGACGAGAGTGGCTGCAGACCTGGAGGGGGACGAGAGTGGTTGCAGACGTCGAGAGGACGAGACTGGCTGGAGACCGAGGGAGGACGGGACTGGCTAGAGACCGAGGGAGGACAAGAGTGGCTGCAGACCGAGGGAGGACGAGACTGGCTGCAGACCTGGAGAGGACGAGACTGGCTGCAGACCGAGGAAGGACGAGACTGGCTGCAGACCTGGAGAGGACGAGACTGGCTGCAGACCGAGGAAGGACGAGACTGGCTGCAGACCGAGGGAGGACGAGACTGGCTGCAGGACCGAGGGAGGACGCGAGTGGGTGCAGACCAGGGAGCACGAAGCTGGCTGCAGACCGAGGGAGGACGAGCCTGGCTTCAGACCCTGAGCGGGCGAAACTGGCTCCAGACGCCCCATGGCCAAGCATGGCAATCCACTCCTGCGGGGGTCTGTATGGCCACTATGGAAAGAATTCTCGAGTACGTTGGAAGCATCAGCAATTTATCATTTCCTCCCAGAATTAGCTTTACTGCCAACCTTCAAAGTAGTCCAGCAGCTCAAAAGCTTACCGGATTTCCTGATATTTCCGATGTTCTTGGCGTTGATACCCCAAGATCATTTCACCTCTGTATCACAGAAGTTCCTGACAGGGAGGTCATCCGTGCTATGAATGTCTTTATTGCTTCTGCGAACGAGGCACAGGAACGAAGTCAATCATCTTCCGACGCTCTCAAGTATGCATCTCAAAACTGGGTTGTGCACCTGTCGCGTGCTCCAAAACCATGGGACGACACTCTCAACCGTATATTCCGGATTTTCTGGAATCGACACCTCCTTTCTTGGCTCGAACGGCAGTGGTGTTTGAAAGGGACTGCGGTCTTGTCTTGATATTTTATCTGAGGGGCAGAAACTTGCAAAGGTTATTGCCTTGCTTCAGGTTTGCATTTTTTTTCATCTTATGAAACCTCTTCTAATTCTCTCTTATCCTCAGTTTGAACCTTCAACGCACAGCCTGATGAACGGTTGTCGGCCATCGGTCCCAATTCCCACTCAACAACGGAAGTTTCGGCCACCCTTCACCTCTCCGAGGCCCGACACCACTGTACAGCGTGTTGGCACATCCAGAAAGCGAACTTTGGATGAGTTTCTGATCAATAGCAACAGTGCACTCGCCTCTAATAGCTCATCAAAACGTCGGAAATGAATCAAACGCTGTTTGCTACGCAAGACTGGTAGGAGCACCGTAGGGCGCCGGATAACTTTTAGTTCACCGCTGTTATTAAAGTTGTTGTCTCTAATCATCTGCCAGCGTCATTATGTACTTAGTTTGTGACTATTTAGTTCAGTACCATTCGCGTTCACTTTTCTGTATCAATCCACAGTAATAGATTTTAGTTTTATACTAGCAGAACAGCCTTTGCACACTTATTGCAAACTCTCTTTACCAATAAGCACCACCACATTGCTGTTCCAAAGACAATTAGTAACTTTTTAAATATGTTGGATGGGACGAATGGTTTATCAACCAGAGTGGCTAAACTCGGGTCAAGCACTGATATCACAAGTTAAAACTTTCAAAGCCGAATTATGGACATTCAAAGCCTGAACCTGACGGCACTGCGTACTTACTTACAAGCTAGTATACATATCACAAAGCAAGAAGATATAAGCCAAGATCGAAATATTCAGATTGAGGTGCGGGCGACAACCTAGTTCTTCTCTGTCAGAGCCCACATATAGTAAACAGCTAGACTTCGATACGGCGCCCAAGACGCGGGTTAAATCTTCCATTTCTTTCGGAGTAAGAAACGCTCCTCTTCAGAGAGCCTTGATGAGAAATTATCCACGAGAGAAAAATTCAGGTGACATACTTGATCTTCTTTCTTTCTAGCCTTGATTTCAAATCTGCGACGCTCAGACCTTCGGGAAGGGGTTCTGTGTTCATCGCGTCTGCGTCGAGAGTCTTGTCAATCGAGGGGGTAAAACGGTTCAGGAAGCGCAGGAATCAAATTAATTGAAGCGGGAGTCTCCGATTGTGATTCAGATAATGTCGGCAATACCTCATTATCCGGTTCTACATCTCCTGTCAGTTGAAAACCAGGGGTCATTTTCGGTGCAGGCGTTGTAGGCGGTGGTCCCATCGCGCCAGTACTTGCCTGTTTTGTTTTATCATCGTTGGATTCGCCGCTCAATGGAAAGTGCGAACGTGTGCTTAGACGAGTGGCGCGAGAGAACCAGCGCAACATTCCTCGCTGGATACCGAGTCACCGACTGGGAGGATGTTTGGACGACGGAGGAGAAGATTGCGAACATGTCAACTGCGCTGGAATTATGAGATATTCTTGGATAAAAAGCAGCATAACACTCACCAGTCCACTTGGTGACAAGAAGCGAGATGTTAATGAAGTACAGATATTATAATTTAAAACGACATACGCGTCCCGATTCCTCGCACTTCTATAAGCATCTCAGCAAGGCTTTTCATCATCTGCAGCAAGTAATTTTCTGTTGAAAGCCTTCTATCTGCAAATCGCGCAGCAAGATCTTTTACTGACAGGAAATAATAGCTTAGACTCGGTTGATGGGAATTCACAGCGAAATTGACAATGACACTCACACATACTCGGCTTTGCGTGTACTGAGACCAGCAGACTTGAGCGTTACGATATCCGTATTGGCAACTTGATAAGGGGTAGGGAAGAAAAATGTTGGAGATTTTGATGCACTTCATAATGAAACCATTAACACCACGCAATGACTGATGCAAGCAGGCGTAACATGCTTTCGGCATATAATTATACTCACGAATAATCTGCTACTTTTTCGGGTAATGAGGGGTCATACAACCGAGTAAACCTATGGATGATCGATCGGGCTGCCAGCCATGAAATTTGTTGAGCGCTGCAAAATGTACACTCAATTTAGTGTCTTCACTTATGCAGGAGATATTTCTTACAGAATTGATTCTACGAGCGCCCTACAGATACATTAGCATTCTATGTCACTCGGTCAAAAATACCACGCTCACCGGAACGGATGGACCTGTTCAAGGAGCTCAAAAGGCTTACATCTAAGCTTTGTGAATATATCCTCAAAGCGGTGGTCAGCGCGGATGAGATGCGCTTTAGCTTCCTCAAACGAGAATGTCAAGGCTGCGGGAACCAAAGGTTTCTCCTCAGACTCGGTCTGCAAGGGAGGCGGTGGAGGCGGTATGAATGCATTCGATGTGGGAGGTGTCTCAGCACTTTCATCGGATGACTTTGTTTTCTTAGCGCGAGGCGTCTTCTTGGCTGCTGGGGTTTCTTCAGCGGCTTTTCGCTTGTTGGACTTGCCCACTGCAGATGGTGAGACTATTGTTGTTGTCTTGTTGCTTCCTCCCGCTGGTGTTGATGCAACTGACCGAGTGGCTGACCGTGTAACAGGCATAATAGATCTAAGTGCAGGAAATCGAAGTCTAGAGAATGCAAATCTCATGCACCAGCAGTGACAATTGCAAGAGCCTGGTTAATAACAAAGTTCAAACCAGTTCCCTAAAACCTTCACGGCATACTAAGCGAATACGTGACTCAGCGACGCGTCGCGTCATGGGCCAGACCTACTTAGTGTTTCCTTTTCAGGCATGGTCAGTGCTTCAGATGCCGGCACAGCTTGCAGGCCCCGCAGTCTTCCAGTTCCGATAGCTTTATCGTAGCTGGCCCTCTCATATCCACACCAACCTCCAAACTATAACTTTTCACTGAACAATGCCGAGTGCGTACACAAATTTCAATAAATGTCCATCCTGATGCTCACATCTATCATCAGAATACATCGTCTCTCTTGAGTCCACCGCAGACTACGAGGCTACCAAGCAAACTATCGTGAAGCAAGGTAGGTTCTCAAGTCATCATACCATCTTTATACCTTTCACAAACCCTCAACAGGTGGAACTATCGTAGATGAATCTGCGCGAATTCTTGGGGTTTGGTTGATCGGGCTCCAAATTTCTCCAGTGGCTGACACATCTCTCGTGTAGATGATCACCGTCCAGATGCCTGACGAAAGCGCCGCTTCGTCACTGAAATCATTCAGTAGCGATATCATCTCAGTCGGTGCGTGCCCTCCGCTTTAATCACAGGACGGGATGGTGCTCACTGTTACTCTGTTTGTCTCAGAACCTGACCAAATAGTCACGACCCAGGCAGCCTAATAGCATTGACATATGCAATATGCTGGGAGATGCACAGTGATGGTTTAATGTAGGATATGAATGAGTGAAGACAGATCTGTACAAGTCATTATTCGAGGATGTGGAACAACTGCTAGAACGATTGCAGCCGTTGTGATCTGATAAGTTTCCCTGAACGATCTAAGCGACTTCCCAAAATCCCAATAATAGCACCCAACCTGAGCTGAGGAATTACTTAATGCATAAATTGCGGGGATGATAAAATAAGTTCTGCCGTGGGGAGCGATGAGAAAACGAATGGTAGAGATGTAGTAGCTAACGAGTGTGTGATGTATGGAAGGGTATAGTAAGTCCAGACGATTATCGGTCGAAAACAGAAAACTAGGCGGAAAGTAAGCATCGAGCAAAAGGACCAACTTCAAAGACGGCAGATTAAGAAAATCGTGACAGGTCATGACGAGAAAGATAGCGAAGATGACTAAAGAGCAATGGAGTCGGCATCCCTGGGGACATCCGCAGAAGGCTTGTGGACTGGGAGGTCGATAGAATTTGTACCTTCGTTCGACGCAGGGGAACTGACTTTGAGCTCTGGGAGAACAGGAGGGTCACTTGATATCCCGTGTCGTGCCCCGTCCTCGCCAGTTTCGCTGGAGTACGTAGACGAGGCGCGCGGTACATCAACGGAAGGCTTAGGTGTAGCAGCAATTGTAGGCCTCGACGCAGTGGGCGCAAGGTTTGCCCCTGGGGCAACTATAATGGTCGCAGGAGGCGGGTCAGGGAAATCCCATGAACGAGGGACCATCGCCGCTGGCATGATCCTGGAATACACAATCAGTAATCAAGTGTGTGCTAGACACGAAAAACTTACCAAGTAGCACAGCAGACAACTCCTTTGCCCTTATCGGCTGCCTTGATCATATGCCACTCGGTTTGCACGAACTGAGAGATGTAGCGAACGAACGGCAATACCTCGCGGACTCCGGGGCTGACGAGCGACAATGCAGTCAGCAAATTGAGCAAGGCAGTACCTGGAGAGGCGACTGCACCGAGGTGCTCGATTGTGGGAGGCGGCATGCAGACTTCAAAACCCCACCAGTCTAACAATAATGGATTAGAACATGAACGATAGCCCATGAAATGAAAACACGCACACGTCAAAACAGAGAGACGATCTGTAGGCACGACAACGCCTTTGTGATCCGGCAAAATTGCCTTGCTTGTTGCAAAACCAAGCGCAAGTAACTGCGGGGTTATTTGCTGGAGGCCATCGATGATAGTTTCTGCGCTGGGAACGGCACCAGCCAGCAATCCCGGCGATGATGCTGGCGCACCGAAACCCATGTCTGGGACAGCGAGAAGGTCGACGAGGTGCAGGTTGACCAACGCATCAGATACTGCAGTCGTTGTTGCAGTAGCAACCGAACCAAACTGTACAAAGTGTTGCTCGTGGACTTCCTTGTCGGTCGCGTCAAGACACACTGCATGGATTGGCCCAGTATTAGCAGATCCCGTATCTGTTGATGACGCAGACATTGTGTGCAGGTGGTCAATAATCTTTTTGGCAGATTTTGGCTCGAGAAGCTGCGCTTTGACACGCGCTAGGTCAGATTTAGAGAGTGGCTTTGACCTCTTTGCTCTGCCATCCACCATTTCATGATCCCCCACGATGACGGAACGAACCATAACTGCGGTGTCCATGGTACGCCTATCAGAGGTCTTGGACTGGAGTGCACGGATCGTGAATGCCTTGGTAGCAAGTGATTTCTTGTCTTTTTCATGCGCCTTGGATAGCACGCGAGGCCGTGTGTGAATAGGTTCGGAGTGCCGGGAATGCTTACGCTCCGGCTGAGTAAGTTTTGACTCGGAGCGCAAGAAGGAAAATGAACGGAATGAGAAACGTTGAGGGTCCTTCCCAGTCTTAGCACTGGGATAAGGATTCACACCCGGCACGCCTGGGGTAGCATTGCCCAAGGATTCAGCAGCGGGACCTCGCCCTGGGCTAGGAGGTACTAAAAGCGACTGCACAGATGACTGTGGCAAGTTCACATGCGTGGGCTGCACAGGCGTGAGCGACCGGCTGGCTACTTGAGGAGTAGCCGGATTCGAGGGTGCTCCATAGGCATCTGTGTGGGAGGATTTCGAAACAGACGAATGCAAGGAAGATGATGAGTTGGCTGATTGAATGGAAGCAATGTCTGCGGCGGGAGATGCGTCTGGCACCGGAGCCGTGGGGTTAACTTCAAGATCCGCCTTCTCGACCTTGACTGGCTCTGCAGCTAGTCGCAACCGAAACACGAACACCAGCGGACTTGAGGAAGGTCAACATCGCAATGAAGTTGCACTGCAAGCGAAGGGTGAAAAAAAACTCAACAGAAAAACTCGAGCTAAGAGTAAGAGTAATGACCCTAGGTCACGTAACTTAAGTAGTTAGACGGAGCATGGCCAAGCTTCTGCGTGAGAATGGGGGGCGAGGCTTGAATTACCTTGCTCGCTCAGAACAGGATTCAATGGATTGCACAGGACGGCACTTGTCAGTGACCGGCCTGCATGTGGCAGAAGACAATGGCCATGACAAGCTTGAGAAGTCTATGCGGGGGAAGTTCTCAGGATGAACGTATTCCCACATCAAGAACACAGGGATCGACAGACGAGTAGCGCGTAAATGGAAACTCGACCTCTCATAGGAGGGTCAACATCCAAAACAGAAAATTTGCATTATATATTGCCTGATCGTAAAGATTTACCTCCGGTGCTGCAAGTATAACTGAACAGCCTTCTGCAGCTGGGTATCTCAACTCCGGTGGCGATTAAGCAAAGATAATACAAAGAGGGCCGACTGGATATTTAAAGAACCTAGAAACAATAACAAGATACCAGTGGGTGTCTTCGACGACCCCCAACAGATCCGAGTCCTTCATGAAGTTTTGAGAACAGTATTTTTAGTTGCCTCCATTCCTTCTACGCCACCACTAGGAATTCGGGAGACCACATTCTATGCTGTAGTTCGTGATGCGTGGCCACCCTTTTGTCGCCTTGACGCGGCGCAAGTAATTTTGAGTCTTGACACCTTGAATCAAACATCCTTCGACGTTTGTTCACGGATGTGCCTCTACATTAGGATTATCCGGTGCCATCTTTGCGTTCATTCTCGTCCGCGAAAGTGCCAGTTGATGTCTCGCTGCAGCCTCATCGATGGACCTTCCTCTGGTCGTTGACTCTTACCAATACGACTTGAAAACTATAAAAAAGGGGAGGGTTACATCATTTTCTCACTGTCAGGACTCACTCTCTGTCCTTAGCTTGCATACCATCATTTTTGTCCGGTCAGGTGATATATTTGTATGTTTCCGAGACAGACTCTCGCGAGGCCATGAAGGTTGAATTTCCTTTCTCATGGGCCAGCCTATCGCATACAAACAAGGAGGTTTCCGCAGCACTGACTAGGCTAGTGAAGTCGATCGACCTCATACACCGCAGTCACCGCCCCAACCATATTGTCGCGGCAGGTTTCGAACCAGCCTCCCAGAGCAACAGATTTTGACTCTGTTGTGGTGACCACTTGGCTAAGACCAGTTACATGAACCTCTGATGAAACCATCCATGAGTGAGTGTCAAGGTGTGTTCTGAGAGAAAAAAAACCTGTCGTCCGGCAAGTTTCAAACCTGCAGTCTGGCGATCCAAGAAACAGAATTTGATTCTGTTGTTGCAACCACTCGGCTAAGACCGGTTAAGATGAACCTCTGAGGAACCTATCAATGAGTGAATGTCAAGATGTGTTCTAATGCAAAAAAAAATCCCCGTCACTATAGGTTTCGAACCATGTTGCAGGGGAAACAGATTTCAATTCTGTTGTGGTAACCACTTTGGCCAGGACAAAGTTGAAACAAATCTCCGAGGAACTGTCCATGAGTGAAGGTCAAGGTGTGTTCCGAGAGAGAGAAAATTGTTGTCAGCAAGTTTCGAGCTTGCACAGTCCAAGAGAAACAGATTTTGATTCTGTTGTAGTAATCACTTTGGTTAGAACGCTTCCCAAGTTGAAACGAAGCTCCGAAGAAGTCAGAACTGTTCATGATGGCCGTAATGTCTTGAAGGTGTGATAAGACATTTGTCGGAAGGTTTCAAATTCTTGCCACCCAAGAGAGCATATTTCTAATCTGTTCGAGTGCCGGTTGGCTATGACTACTTATAAGATAGACCTTGAAGGATCCATCCATCAGTGAATCTTCAACCTGAAGACGTGGTAAAAGGAAAAAGAATGTTGAGCAGGTTTCGAACCTGCAACAGATTTCTATCCAGCGGCGACGTTACCACTTGGCTAAGACTGGTCAATGGATGTTACGAGTCGAAGAACATCATGCATTGACAGTAGAATCACATAGGATTAGCAGTCAGTTGCCGACGCAAAATGACTAGTTTGCGTTTAATTCCATGGGACACAAAACATGCCAGGAATAAGCGAGTCGGGCTGGTGCCGGCGCCGCTACGATTTATGATTGGCAGGTACTTGCTGAAGTAAGCATTCCGACCGTGGGAACAAAATTAACTGTTGTCGCTGTTCGTTCCGCATCGTCGGAGCCAGCATTGAGCTTGACTTTTCTCCTTCGACCGCCATGTCACTCGGCATTTTAAGAGCTCCAGGTGAATACCTGTGTTGTGTCATAAGTCAATGTAATTCATAAGCCTCTCGTGCAGTTACCAGTGCCTATAAGGTAGCAGCACTCAGACCCGCTCTCGGGATTTATGGTATGTTCCATCAATTAATTCCTGGCGAACTCTTTCTAAGTTAGCCTTTTTGATACAGCTGCTCGCTCTGTGCACACGTCGAAGTCTGCGCAAGCCCCCGAAACTATACCCACTCCGGTCCCCTCTGCTTCTGAGCCGATCACCACATTGGCAATGCACGGCTCAAATCAACTTAGCCTTGAGCAGCCCCAAAATAAGGCTGGTGAGTATGCCTCATGCACTTCTCACTGAGTAGGCTTAATTGGATTGTAGAATACGTCCTGTCAACATTAGACAAGGTTGTCAACTGGGCACGCCAGGGTTCGATATGGCCCATGACTTTCGGTCTTGCATGTTGCGCTGTCGAAATGATGCACATGGCTGCTGCTCGCTATGACCAGGATCGTCTCGGTGTCGTTTTCCGTGCCTCTCCACGTCAATCTGACGTTATGATTGTCGCTGGTACCCTCACAAACAAAATGGCCCCTGCTCTCCGTAAAGTCTATGACCAAATGCCCGAGCCAAGATGGGTTGTGTCCATGGGATCTTGTGCAAATGGCGGTGGCTACTACCACTACTCATACGCTGTTGTCCGTGGTTGTGATCGTAAGCATTCTTTCATTCTGGTCCAACAGTGGCCCAGTTAATATTTGTCTGGTAGGGATTGTGCCCGTGGATATCTACGTCCCTGGGTGCCCACCAACTGCTGAAGCGTTGCTTTATGGTATGTTGCAACTTCAGCGCAAAATGAGAAGAAACAGGAAGAGTGTGCTTTGGTGAGTTGTACTCTTATTTGTCATGGATCATGCTAATGGCTGCATTCCAGGTACCGCAAATGAGGCTGGTTTGGCTACGGCGTACATAAACTAGCACTTTCGTTGACATGTTTCGTATATCACTCATGGCTGGCGTGCACCGATTCCGTTCCTTGTCCACAATCTTGTGAAGGAGTAGTATGCAGGTACCATGTTTCACCTTCAGCACAGGCAATGAAGTCAGAGTATCAAGTCGTGATAAACATAAGCCAAAGCACCGTGCTTTGTTTTTCCGATGTACACCTTTCTGGAGCGGTCTCTTTGTCACCCACTTGAGCACGTCCTTCAGCTTATGCAGGTTATATTGATCATACTCTGCAGGGGCGACATCCACCACTGTGATGTTTGGATGGGGTGCACAACTGCGATCAAGTGCGCACCTGTGCACGTGGATGATCTACTCCCACCTCACTTTGATGCACCCTGGTTGGGAGGCGGCGCCACCGCGACGGTGTCATGGCCAACACGAAGTGCACCTTACCCCTTAATGAATGTGAAATGGCCGACTCTTCTCTCGCCTGCATAATTAAAAAAGCGCGCCGCACTATGTCACTAGCAGCATGCTACTCGGATTGCAAATTGTGGGCGTGTTTAAACGTTTACTTATCTCACCCGGCCCGTCAGATAACAGATCTTCCATACCATTATCAAGCGCTCGTCAACAAGTTCTTCCCTATCGACCAATACATTATCGATCAAAATTGTTAGACTCAGATCAGTGAGCTAGTGGTGGAGCGTGAATTATGTGGGTGTATTCTCAAACCGGCTCAAATTTAATGTCAGCTTACCTCCATTACTATCGTCTGCAGCATGCACCTTTTGCACACTACAACCAAGAAGCTAGAGGAATTTGTCAATCCTCCGGAATATGCGATACTATCGCATCGATGGCGCGAGGAAGAAGTCCTGTTTGCAGATATCCATCAGGAACATGCGAAAGGCATGAAAGGCTATGCCAAAATAGAGGGATGCTGTGAACAGGCCCGACGTGATGGGTATCAGTACGTCTGGATTGATACCTGCTGCATCGACAAAAGCAGCAGCGCAGCGCTTGCAGAAGCAATCAACACTATGTTTACGTGGTATGAGGACGCCCAGGTATGCTACGTCTACCTAGATGACGTTGCCGACAACGGAGACCCGGGAATCGAATCCGCGTTTGCCAAAAGCGAATGGTTCACCCGGGGGTGGACTCTACAAGAGCTCATCGCGCCCACGAGCTTATTCTTCTTCGACAGTCGTTGGAGGGAGATTGGGAGCAAGAACAGCTTAGCAGGACTTCTCTCGTCCATTACGAGAGTGCATGCCGACGTATTGACTCGCGTAAATGCCAAGTCAGACAAGTTGATGACCACCAGAGTATCCTTCAGCGTCGCAACCAAAATGTCGTGGGCTGCTGGGAGGAAGACAACCAGACCAGAAGACAGAGCCTACTCCCTCATGGGAATATTCAAGGTCCACATGCCTGTTATCTACGGAGAGGGGGAGAAAAAGGCTTTCTTCAGACTCCAACTGGAGATTATCCGTACTTCGCATGACCAGAGCATTTTTGCATGGAGCAATCCTGTCGCAGGTGGTCACAAAAAAGGGATTTGGCCTTTCGCCCTATACCCTGATTACTTTGCCAAGTCAGGAGATGTTGAAGACGTGCCCTCCGACCAATGGATACGTTACAGTCAAGAATTCATTGGCCCAGATGCCCCCAGGCTTGACTTCGCCGCCACCAACGACGGCTTGGACATAAGTCTTCCCTTACGACCTTTCGCGCATGGATCGGACGAGTTCATCGCTCTCCTGAGCTGTCGACGTCGCGTAAGTGACGGAGAGTACCATATCGTCGGTATTCGTTTACGGCGCTCTGTGGTCAATGCCGAACGTTACGAAAGGATAGATGATCATACCCTCGAGGACATCGTCGACACTCGCGGGGAATTCGAAGTCAAACGAATACACATTTCGTATCCGTTACTATCGGATTCATTCAATGCTTTTTTCTTCAGTACCTCAACGTCGCTCTTCATTCAAAACGTCGGCGTAGAAGAGCACGGCTTCTCCGTGATCAATATGGAGACGGCCCCCTCATGTGGCCTACAAATGCACGATAGTAATTTTGTCCTGCTGATGAGAAGACCATTACCATTACCATCACCAAAACCCCCACAAGATCTCAAAGGTTCACATCATCTACTCCGAACCGTGGATTCCTCGTGGTTAGCATCGTTCACCTACCACAACTCAACGACAAAAGAACAGTTTGTCGTCACTGTAGGGGTATCTTGGGTACAAGATGGGGGCCCGTGGCTCCGAATTACCTCAGAGAAGCCTCCTGCCGATCAACTCAGTCGGCTCAAGATCGACTGGATTTCTTACCTGCTCAAAGCAGGCAAGAAAGTGACAGCGTCCGTGAAGAACGGTGGTCATGCTTCTGCTGGAAAGAAGCGATCGATAATGTTCGACCGGTATTCAGTCAACATCACGGTCTATGGTAACCAATGACTCGACGACTGGGAGGTTTAGGTGGTTAGCAAGGGATGGTTACTCGTGTGAATCTCAGCACTGGTGATGAACGGGTGGTGGGTTGTGAAGCAGTGAATCTAAGATCACCCTTGGGGGTAATTTTTAGTGTGTAGGTCCTTAAACCTCATGTACTCGCATAGAAAACTCCCAAGGGTTCCTACGTACTTATAGCTGGTAGGAACCCAGTAGCTGTATGACATTCGATTAGCCCAAACGTGATAAGCACCACAGTAGCAGTGGTGTTAAGAAACTCGATATCCGGATGAAATTAGCTTCAAATGGAAATTTTGATGTACGACGAAGCTCGCTGCTCGTAAGGCGGAATGGTATAAATCATTGCTTTGATGCGAAATTGCACAATCCGTCGGCCGACATGACTATATCAGTTGATGATCTGGATATTCACCAGTATAAAGTAAAATACTGCGCAAGATTACAGGTTTAGTATGGCGTCCTTCGTACGAGAAAACAGGCTATACAGCGCAAGGGAAATACATTTCTATCGCGCGAAGTGAAATGTGGTAATCGAGAGAATAGTGTTTCAGGAGTTAAACTGTGATGCACACCAGTTAGCTCACGGAGAGGCGCGCAGTAAATAAGACACGCACAGCGGTAAGATACGATTCGGCTACCGTGCGCGCGCGCGCATTCAGGCTGAGTTTCATCTCGCTTATTTCCCTGTCTACTTCCTCCATAAATCTAGTTACCGGGGATGAGAGAACGATGTAGAAGCATTCGGATGCCACGCACTGTATGATGAAATCGACGACCTTGTGTTTTAACATGGTCTCTGAATGGACATTCGTAATAAGGAACGATATGTCGTATCCCTGTGCGAGAATTAGAGCACGATGGCCGCTCATATTCGAGCAGTTCACTCACGAGGACAGGCTTCCTGCGCAGCACAACAAAGCTCTCCGCTCTCTGCATCAAGAAACGCGTGAACTTGTGACATAAGATACGCTCGATTTCATCGGCCTGCTTAATCTTAATACTCATGCGTATCGAGTTCACAGATGGCTCGATCAGGACGCGTTCATTCTCATTGCGTGATATGGTCAGTGGGTTCAGGAGAACCTCCTTGGAGCCCCTGCAACCGATCGCCATGAGTACACGCCATGACGACATGAAACATACGGTTATACCTAACTTCTACTTCTGGCTTGTTGTGTCGTTCAACGACCTAGGCCATTGTGAGCTCGTGAATGTGTCAGATAGCATTTCATCATGATTACTTGTGACGAGAAGTTCTCAAGCGTCAGAGCCGCTGTTAAAGTTGATTTGACAGCTGAGAGATACGGCCTGAGCGTGTTCGACTACGGTCCAAGGGCCTTGTCAGCGGCATTGGCCATATATTCTGATAATCGACCTACCATCGAGTCTTAAAGCTTGAAGCTTGAGAGGGAATCTAGAGACTGCGGAGTCTGAATTAATGTACAAGTACATAATAACCAATTCGGAAAGAGCGCGTCTCTTTCAGGAAACGCGTCCTCGTCAAAAAATTTGAGCTTTGTCTCGTCTTAAGAACGACCAATACCACTAATGACTGCCGTCGCTGTTTGGCAAGTTTGCTTATGCTTTAACCCTTGCTATATCTCACTTTTTGCAGGAGCATTGTGTTGACGCCAGGCCGAAAGGAGACAATCGTCCCTCAGGCAGACCTGCAAATCAAAAACGCCGCTCTCGCAGAAAAATTATCTGATGAGTCTGGCAGAACGACCGTCAAGTTAACTTACATAAATCCTGCAAAAATTGATGACGAAGAGGAGGATCAAGTCGACCAAAAGTCTCTAGAAGATGAGATAACCACTGTTCTCTGTTCGCTAACCGCTGGCAAGGTCAGTGGCACGAGACGTTTTGCTTCATTTTAGTACGCGGTTAACGTGCCATTATTGGATAGATTGAGCAGTCAGCATGCGACCTCATCCTTGAGAGCGATGAGGAGTATACCTTTGAGCTCATCGGAAAAAAGTAAGCAATGTTCAAGCTATTATTAGCCAATATAACTCATGCATGTCCCCCATCCAGCACCGTCTACCTCTATGGAAATTACATTGGTAAGCCTCAAGTTCCCCCGCTCCAATCCAGCTTCAATAATACGTGGTATAGACCAGAATGCCAACCAACCACCTTACGATTCTGACATGGAGTCTGACATGGGTGACGAGGAGGCCTACAACCTGGATGATGTCAGCTCGGACGTCGAGGTGCATCCTGATGAACTTGAAGGTCTCGAGGACGATGTCGAGTGAGTACACCACCGTTAGTTATTCTCCGCCATGTATCTAACCGTGCTAGGCGCTTCGAGGAATTGTCAGACCTTGCTGAGGATGAACCAAAGGCAGAAGAGCACAAGCCATCGAAACGTCCTCATGATGACGCCATGGACACCGACGAGCAACCTGCCGAGAAGGTCTCCAAAAAAAAGAAGGCGAAGAAGCAGAAGGGTGAAGACGGTAAGGCAATCCCTGTTGTCGTTGAGGAAAAGGCAGCCGAGCCCAAGGGCGAGAAGGAAGAAGAGAAGAAAGCCGACAAAAAGGAGAAGAAAAAGCCAAAGACTGCTGAGGGGAAGAAGGGTGGCTCTTACAAAGAGCTCGCTGGTGGGGTCAAGATTCGAGATGTGAAAACTGGTGATGGCAAGACTGCTAAGAATGGCGCCAAGGTTTCCATGCGTTACATCGGAAAATTACAGGATGGCAAGATCTTTGATCAGAATGTCAAGGGCAAACCCGTAAGCAGGCATTAGGCTTCTTGCTTGTCGGGCATGTGTTCACTGTGCTGCAGTTCACTTTCAAACTTGGAGGAGGTGATGTAATCAAAGGTTAGCTGCTTTGGTTCGTGGCCTTGTCTTCATCGTTAATGTCATGTTAGGTTGGGACGTCGGAGTCGCCGGCATGCAAATTGGTGCAGAACGTGAGATTATTGTGCCACCAGCAATGGGGTATGGTGCGCGGAAGATGTCTGATATCCCTGCCAACTCAACTCTGATATTTGGTGAGTGGCTCCTCTGTGCGGTGAAGGTCCGGTGGCTCATTAAAATGTAGAGGTGAAATGTCTGGAGATCAAGTAAGACGGTGTCGTACATTCTAGTATGCGGTAGTATACTTGTGGTTCGTGTGGTATATCTGTCAACCGCGGTCATGACTTGCACTGCTTTGCGATCCGCTGATCCGGACACGAACTCATGATTTTGCAGCACAACGGTGTTTGTCTGCCCAAGACCAACGCCAATTGGGAAAAATGACTTAGAACTCCACCCGCCACCCTAAGCCCATGGTGCCTACAAATGGGTTTGTAGGATGGAGATAAAGAGCGCAAATGTCTATCCGCATTCTTCTACCAGTTTGTTATCCTTCTGGTTCCGTCAGGTTCCGTCCCGCTGTATCGGGCACAACCCAACGAGACCGGGCAATTGGGGCAACCCCGAGTCGTGAGATGCCGGCATGATATAATGATACGAAATGTGTGATGGACATCGCCTACCGAGATGCGCTTGATAATCTCGAAGGTAGCGCAGCTACGTCAATCTGCACAAAAAAAATGTGAACCCCGCAAGATCTGAACTCGCTAGGATGATCTTCAATGCTGCATGGCACACGTCCAAAAACACAGATGGCTTGGACAATTGCCGGATAGGTTGAACCTCAATGCTTATGTTACAACTGACTCAATTTTGAAGCCCGATATGCTTCCTTGCCACCCTGTATGAGAGGACTGGAATGACGATGCCGGCTAGTACGTACACAATTAAGGGTGTTGACGTGATTTGGAACGCTCATTCCGCATGCGGTTAATAGGTTGTGTTGCACAGTGTTGGAAAAAAGGAAGAAATATAAAACTAGCCTGTAGTTAGTGGTATATATGATCCGTGTCGCTACGAGGTGTCGAGTGCGCAGAGATCCGGGACGTAAGCATGTCGATCATGATCCTGTTCCTCGGACTCCTCACAGTACTGTGCATAATTGGTGTACAGCACTGCAAATTTGTGTCTGCTTGGCAGGTGACGGTACCGAACCATGCGGACAGCCTGAGTCTACACGAGCGAAAATTTCTTGAACGATCAAGTTGCATCGACGCAGGCGGCAGGAAGTTTTTCGAATCATATGTGGTGGCAGAATGATAGTTCCAGAGGGTGATATAACGCAGAGACTGTTGTTTATAGAACGGTCTCCGTGAGTTGAAGTTGTATAGAGGGCGTGTGGGTAATTAGACCACTTACCAGAAACCGCTCGTGACGAGTTCTTCAGCGGACGGAAGCCGCGAGGCTTTGGGCGGCGAACTGGAACCTTTTCAAACACAGTATAGAAAAGGGTTGGCGATACCAGTTATTGTCGTCACCGATCAGCGCCCGAATTTTTCTCCTCCATTACCGTCGTCGGGTCATACAATTGGATATAAACTGCGGGTGATCCTGCCGTTCAAGTGGTGATCGCCCAGCTGTGGCAGCGGCAACGAAAGGTAGCAATTACTGTACCGTGACCCTCACAGTGACCATGAGACTCCTGCGCACAACGCCGATATAGTGTTTGAAGAACGCCCGGTGTATTGATTCTTCCGTTGGTTAGACCTCGATCCTGTCTGGGGTTACAACATGAGAGGTAAAATAATATTCTGAGATGAGAAATGGCGTGTTTGTTGTACAAGAATCACCTCTGACAGCGAGTAGCTGATCAGTGTCCGCCAGTAGTACAAGAACTAGTTAGCTCTGAACTCCGGAGCAAACCTTGTAGATCATCGATGGAGCACATGACTGTTGCCGAGATCCCTGGTTCAAAAATGAGGCTTGTTGACTCGATGAGTAGTGGCCAGGGTACGGAGTTCTCGCCACATATCTGGAGATAGATCAGAATGCGATCGGGGTTGATGTGGTATTTGCACAGCGTCAGGATACCGCCGGCAGTAGTTCGAATGTCAGAACCCGAGGATGACCCCAAAACTCATATACACTTCAAGTTGGAAGCCAAGTTATTGGAGTGACACAACCGATGGCGGAAAGGACCTATGGGAAAGATCTCAGATAAGAAAAAAAAAGTTGTCGACTGTCGGACTGGGCCATGTCAATCTCTGTTTTGTTGGCTAAATTCGAAAAAGTCCTTAAACTAGCCCAAAGAAACTCACTCAAATTCACAGAAGGAGAAAGGAGACTGCCTGATCTTGCAACAGCATGTTGGACACGTTCCTATACAGGCTGAGAATTCCGAGAAGATGGTTATCATGGGTGCCAGATGGGCGACCTCGCACATAACTGGGCAACAGTGACGATTCGGGATGATGATCGCGGATAAAGCTATAACTTGATCAAAAATTGTGAGCACTCAAGTCTCAAATGTCACAAGCCTCGAGGTCCTTTTGACTCTCACCGTTTGTGATTTATTTGTTCATTAAATCGATTCATGATAACCTGATGGAATTCACTTCCCCGTGCTTCGACGAGTGAAAATGACACTCCCCTACGGAAGCCAGGCCACAATCCGTGGTCTATAAATTAGCCACAAGTTCGAGACAGAGTGAGCTGTGCCCTCTTGCCCAACCTTACTGTTTCATCTTCCATGTGTCTCTAGCATCCGTCCTTTGGATCCTTTCCTTGTATATCCGAAACGACTCCCTTCTTCACCGTTACGAAGTGGAACGATCAGTGGTACCTCCCTCCCGCTGCATCCGCGCCCTCGACATTGGTCAAGGCTAGAACTCGGGATACCCACCCTGCGTGTATTACTTGCACTTCGTGCGATGTGTATATGTGCTCGTCCATGGTCAGGGGCGCTTCTTTCCCATCTGTACTGCAGGCATATGCCCCGCATACAAAGGATACTGCCTCAGTACATACCATGGGAATGGAAGATGCCCAGGACCATGGTACAGTGGATAGCAGCATCGTCGCGGTGATCGTACCGGCCACGCGAACCATCCTGATGGGCTATGGACGTTCGCAGCACATCGTGGATGTATCAGTGGGGCTCCTCGTTGTGGTGACGACAAGTTTACCTACAACTAGTAAGACGAATTACCGATTAGTGAGCGGAACTTCAGCGTAATTAGAAGGTGCGTAACTCTGAGCATACTTTCGAACGAGCTAATAGCACAGCAGGTTCAAGTTCATCGATTGTTCCGATAGTACGATTGGTGCCAGTTGGTGCCATGGCAGTCAAATGAGGCCATGAAATTAATGACGGACTTGGTTAAGAAAGTTCCCATTTTACTTCAATGTGGCCGCTGCCGTCAGCAGCCGCCGGGAAAACTGATGCATCACAACAGAATAGAGTATTCTGTACACACTACCAGCCCAATATCTTTGTTGTGTCCAAGTCATTCGCGCCTAGAACGTGATCATACCTATCTGAAATCTTGGATAGCGACTCGATGACAGATAAAGGGAAGGAGAGGGCAAGATTGCCTGCGGGAATGACCGGAGCAAAGGTGAGAAGGTTCCGTATACCGGCTCTACTACTACTAGTAGCAGGCATCCTTTAACCTGAAAGACGATCACTCCAGCTTTGACTGACGCCGTTTGTCTACAAGGTGTGCGGACTAAGGGCAGATCCGGTTGGTCTATGTAGTAGTCATTGGGTATAATTCAATGCTTTTAATGTTTTTCCCCCGAAAGTTTACACCAACCATACATTTCATGCGTCGCTCTCCTGGCGTAAATGTTTGGCGGATCTGACTGTCAGGATGGACCAACTTTCATGCACATGGCTTCAAGGTACGCATGCCAAGCGCGCATAACATACTGGGAGGAATTTTTGACATATGGATTTCAATTCATTCAACTAACGTAGTAAAACTCACCCAGATCGGCATCTGTGCAAGGACATGCACTTGCGGCTGAAAAACACTCAGAAGGCCGTTGATGATGCATAATTAGGCACGTCCCCCTGCTATTATATGCATATTGGAGTAAAAGTCCTATGTCTTAAAGGTGTCAGCGGGACGTTGAGCCATCGTTGACATCAATAAGTAATGGATCCCGCCACTGGCACACATCATGGGATGACAGGTTCGACATGGTAGTCACTGATTATGCATGACAAAAGCTCTGGGGGCGATGGTAGTTGCTGACTGACGGTCCCGAAGGCGACCAGATAGCCAGTAACTCTCTGCATAGTGCTAAAATTGCATATTTCTTGCCAAATCATCTGTTCTCCCGCCTCCTGGCGTCACTGATAAGGAAGAATGATCACAGAAACCCAGCAACTCCGCGGCAGAAATCCCGCACGATTAAATAAGTCCGCTGTCGCGGAGACAGTGAGTTCTGACCCCTTCCAAAGCTGCCCCAAGCACCAAACTCAAGTCGGTGATACTCGGACAGGGTTTGATGCCCCCATGTCTACTAGTTCAAGAATAGCTGCTCCGCCTCCTCGTGTATAAGTTATTCCGGAGGATTTCAACCAGAACTAGTAATCGTTGCGACAGAGCTAACTTCATATCCAGATAGGTTGATTTACTACATGCGAAGCTAGGATAGTCCCGGATGGATGCGAATGTGGACGTATAGAACCAAACATAGTTGGGCACCAGAATGTCAGTCCACAAGTGACTCTTCCTCCTTTCGTGCACTCGACCGAGTGCAAGGAAACCGTGAGGCATATATCTCACGATTTCTCCATGCGTATATGCCTCGTACATCGCAACTTGTACCCCGTGCTTGATATCCCGGACGAAAGAACTCGAGAAGGGTCTAAAGAAAGTAAACATGTCACGAATGAGCTTCCAAGTCTCTGAAACAGACAATTCACCCCACCCTGACTACACGGCTCCTCACTAATATCTGCCTGGGCGTAGGGCGACCCTGCAGGGGTAGTGTCAGACACGTAGATTGCTCGAAGGATGCCACTGTTCATCAGTTTGTCTCGCCCGTATATCGGATGTTACTTGTGGTTAGATGGACGTATCAACTTGCAGTGTTCGGAAGCACAAATCGTGGAAGTATCGCGGGCTTCTAAGGTTAGAAGTCCAGGCCATCCACGATCGTATGCTGCAAGCCATCAATTGCGGAAGGGCCCGTACAGAAGCGCACTAATACGCTTTCTTTGGCACGTTCGAGACAGCCAAAAACAAATTAGCGATATGGGGGATAAAAATTAGAGATCGATGGCCTAAAAGACATCGGAGGTCAAGTAAGAGCTTCGGGGTTTCTGAGTAAATGTGATAATACTCCGCGAGCACACAAAAACACAAAACAGAAACAAATACCTTCCAGGTCTCGTTGAATCAAGAATAGATGCTAGACCAGCGAAACTAAACATGGGAGGCGTTTACCACTGGAGCAAAGGCTCCATTTCCGTCGACTTCCAGCCGATCTACAAGGCCTGG